ACACAAGTCCACTCACCTGCTAATTAACTTGATTTTTAGTTTTATATTTAGAAACATGAAACTTAATTTATCCTTCATTTATTTTTTCAACATATTATGGAGAACTACTGATGTAACCTTGGGTTGCATTGATTGCTTATGCTAAATTGCAGGATTAATGGTGATATGATTAAAGAAGACTATTTCTTTGAAGAATTTTTTTCTCCTATTCTTTTTTTTTTAATGCCAAAATATGAGAAATATTCCTCCAAATATAAATAGTATATGTGGAGAAAGATGTTATCGGGTACTTACCACTTAGATATGCACAACATGTCATAAAAAGACCATTCTTAAACAAAAGATTTATGTACATGGCTACATTGTAAATAATTAAAATTCATGGTGTATGTGAGAATTTTTTTTTCTCTTTTAACGGATTCTCCTAGAGATGCATCAAATAGGTATTTCTTACAAAAATATTAGTGTATCAATCACATGTATAATTATATTGATGAAAATAGGGTAAAATTAATAAATAGCATTTTTCATAATTAAAAATTATTCTTAACTATTCTAAATATCGCGAGATAGAAGCCAATTAGGCAACGTTAGAAAAAACAGAAATAAAAAATTAGACGTCTTGCATAACCGGAGTAAACATAGCTACGGGGAATGATAAATTATGTTATTTTTATCATTAGAGCGCACACGTTCGATTGGACGTTCACATATATATTTTTTTAATGTAACTTAAATTATTGGATACATCCGAAAAACTCTAAATCTTGAGAAGTTGTTGTTCATAAACTTTAAAATCATGATTGTGGAATAAAGAAGAGTTTGAATTTAATAGGAAAAAAAATAATCATGTCTTGTGGTTATTGTTTTGAAAAGCTACAAAGACATATTCATGACAAAGAGGAAGTGTTTTTTTTTTTTTCCCTATTTAGGAAAATATATATTAAGATAGAAATATAAAAGAAGAAAGAATACGAATATTAAGTATGATGTATTTTAGTATTTTCTTTATTTTCTCTTTTATTTACGTTAATAATTAAGAAAAATGATGACATGGATATATGATAGAGTTTAGATTGCATGAATATTAACCCATTATAGTAAATAAGATTAAAACTATCCTACCGTGAGAATAAAGATTTAAAAGTATCCTGTTTAAAAAAAAAATAGAAAAAAACTCCCTTAAGGGTTAATGGTAGGATATATATATATGTTGCCTTTAAAGTTTACCTTCCAATTATCTCAATTGTTACATTTATTTTTTAAACTATGAATTTACTCTTTTTTTTAACAAAAAAATATTAGTCAAGTAAGAAGTAAATAACATGGATGAATAAGTCCTACATGACATAAAGTATCCTAACTTAAGAAATAAGTTTAAAACTATCTTGTTTTGGTAAAAAAAAATATTTAAAAATGTTCTAGTTAATTCGGAAAAAAAAAAACTACTTTACATATTGAGAAAAAAACTCTAAAGTTAAGATTACAACAAACGATCTATTTATCGAGTATGGTAGTTGAAATTGAGTTTCTTCGAAAATATTTAAACTTTATAATACATGGCTCGTTTTCAACTTTATACATTACTTATCTTTTGTTTATTTTTTTAATGTGAGATATGTGCTCTAACACTCTCCTTCACTTGCAGCTCATCTTTTAAGATCCGTCAAGTGGTTTGGACTTTAGAATCTTTAATTACTAGACCGTTAGACTTTTTTAAAACCCCGATACCATATCAAAAAACTATTTCAATCTAAAAATTTAACTTGTTGGTCGAGCCCCGAATAATGGTTTTATATTATTGTTTAACACCCTCATCGAGTGAAAGTCCTTTTTGACTTGTAATTTGCATATGTCCACACTATCTTGTGCTTGATTGGAAAAGAAAATGGAGTTGTGAGATTCGATTTCATGACTCACCTAACGACTTTAATTTTTGGGTTGAAATGATTCTTTGATTTGGTATCATAACCTTAAAAAAACCCAACGGGTCAACAAAGATTCTAAAGTTCAAGCTACTTGACAAACCTCGAAAGATGGGCTGCAAGTGAAGGAGAACATTAGAGTATATTTCCCACCTTATTTATCTTCAATGATGGTACTTATTTGCTCTAAAACTATCATTTCACTCGCAATCCATCTTTTAAGGTCTCTCAAGTGGGTTGAACTCCATAATTTTTATTGGATCGTTGGATCTCTTTAGGACTTGATACCATATCAAAGAATCATCTCAATTCAAAAATTTATTAGCTAAGTAAGGCATTAATAATGATTTTATATTACTTTTTAAATATATTTTCCTATATTAAAAGGAAAGAAATCTCTTTTTATGATACAAATTAAGAAATAAAATCTCTTTCTTTAAAAATATCTTAGAATAGATATGTTTTGATTCTCTTTTTATGATACAAATTAAGAAACAAAATCTATCTTTTTTTTTCTTTTGTTTTTACCCAAGTATTCTCATTGCATATCGAAGACATGACTAATCTTATTCGGAGCAAAAACAACAAAATTTAAATCTTTTCAACAAGTAAGACTCTACAATTTGAATCCTATATATTAGTGGAAAATTAGTCTAGAAACTACTTTTCTTACAATGAACCAATAATTTGTTGGTAAATAAAATCTATCTCTTTTGACTTCTACTAAAAATGTTTTAATACTTTTCCGGCCGGTATAAATATAGCCCAAAGGTTCTACGTAATGCATCATATCAAACAAGGAGAAAGAGAGAGAGCTTATTTAAATTTCTTAACAACCACACTACTTCACCAAAAAAAAAATGGAGAAATCTTCGTTCAAGCTGGCATTCATAATAGCTTTACTCGTTCTTGCGTACTGTAAATCTCTTCATCATATTTTCTTTGCTACTTCCTTTCTCGTGCTTTGTAATTATTACAATATTTTTTCTTTATTTTTAAGCTTCTAATTTTTTATTTTATTTTTTCAAAGGAAGTATCATGCATAATGCTAAATGCTCACTGGTTTTAAGTGTGTTAACTCTTGACGCTTCTACAGTACATACTCGTCATGTTGTGGTTCTTTTATTGCATTGGAGACTATAATGCATATAAACGGGGTTCACGACTAAGAAAAATTGACAGCTTCCTGCTTGAAGCTAATTTTACTGATTAATTTGCAGGTTTTCTGCTTGGAGCTGCTTATTCCGGTGTGCCATGTTCATCTGATTCTGGGTGTGTAGGCGCTTGCCCAGGGGGATGCAAACGTATCTTTTGCCAAAACCACTGCTGCTTTTGCGATAATTACAAGCCAAACATAGTAGTGCGTTGTTGATGCTACCACCAGAAAAGCCTAATTAAGAGTCTAGTTTGCTTGATGACTTGCGACTTATGGGTCATCACTCTTAAAATCTTCAACTTTCTGAGCTCTTAATTTGTTGGCTTTTGAAATAAAAGGTAATGTTGTGATAAACCATGCATCCCTAAGAGACTAAATAATTAATCGGAATATGCATTCTATTGTTTTGACTTGGTATCAAAATTGTTAGGAAACAAATTTTACAAGAAAATAAAGTAGAAATACAAGAATAGTCACACAACATAAAAAAATTATGTGGTTCGATAGTGATGCTTACTCCACAGTTGCACTAGGAGTTATTATTAAATTTTATCAAGTGAAGATTTACAAATACAAGATATGTTATCTGTATTTATAGTGTGGACAAGTAGACTTGTAACAAAAAGGCCTAACAAGACCACTGCGTGCATGGCATCCTATAACTCGAGCTTCTATCAAAATCAGTTTCCACAACTTAAACAAAAATCGGATAATAACAATATATATTTTTTATTATGTTTAAATAATTGTAATATTTTTAAAATAATTTTCACGATTTTAATTGATGAGATTTAATATTAAATGATCGCTACTCGGGCAAAATTTCATGTCTTGATACTTTCTCTATTTTTTATAAAATTTGTTCCATGCATGGATGTTGAATTTAATTAGAGGCGTTAATTCAATCATTTCTTTTTTAAAAAAAACTGGAAATCCAACAGTCATAATCTTTAGAACTTACATAACCCTAAAGAGCTAGAAGACATGGCAAGTAGGGCTATGAAATGTTTGGATTTGAACCAGATCATATAAGATTTGGATTCAATTTGTATAATAAAATTATCAGATTCTATGAATCTAGATTCGAGTTTAAAAATATCAAATTAGATAAAAAATTCGAAACTTTATTAGATTTATCATTTAATTTTTATAAAAAATTTATGCTTACTATATTTAATATATTACTTCAATATGAAATATATATTAACTACTACATATATAAAAATATATATAAAAAAAAATTATCTATCAATTTTATTAAGAATTCAAAATCTCACACGATTCATCGTCGCATAAAGGGGGAAAAAGGGTGCAAAGTACACAACTGACTAGCATGCTATTTTAAAGGAAACATTTTGAGCTATATCTAAATTGTGATACAGCTCGAAGAATCTGTGATTGATGAGAAATTTTATATTACTGTAAGAGTAATTATAAAAATTCAAAATTAATCCTTTTAGTTTGATAAATAAATTAAGTAATCCTTCTTTTTCCAAAAATTAATGATTTAAGCTTTTAATTAGTGTTGACTATAATTAATTTAATATTATTTTTTTCAATAATTTTTAATCAAAATTTCCATAATTTCTATTTATTTTTTATTTTCTATATTTTTAAAAAAAGAAAAAAAATTAGAAAAGAACATATAAAGGAATAAAAGAACCAAATAATTAAATTTTGCAACATGAGGGACTAATTAATTTATTTCTCAAAACTAGACTGCCTAGTTTATAATTTACTCCTTCTAACGACGACTTGGGAGTTAAGATCTAGGTGAAAATACTTTGGACTGGACAGTAGCCCAAATCTGGTGCTACCCAAGCCCATTTATCCCTGCTCTTAAAAACACAAATAGGAAAAATAAAACAAATCAAACTGGAACAATTTCATTTCAGTGAGCAAAAAGAAAAGCAAAAAAAATGGGAAGAGAAGTATCAGAGAGTTGCGTCGATAGCCTACTGACAGAAATGGTATCATCATACTGTAATCGATTTTACTCTAATAAACCTGAGCTTGCTGCTCGTCGGATCGAAGCCATTGGTTATCAAGTCGGGCATCAGCTCTCTGAACGGTACGGTACACCCTGATAAACATCCGATCAAACCATAATTCTTTTGAATTTCTATATGTTTTTTATTTAAATTTTTTCTGTTTGAATGTTGGTTTGATTAGGTACACAATGGAACGGCCTCGTTTTACTGATCATTTAGAGGCAATTAAGTTCATATGCAAAGATTTCTGGTCTGAGTTGTTTAAGAAACAGATTGACAACTTGAAAACAAATCATAGAGTAAGTTTTTGTGATAAATTTTATTTTTTTATTTCTGGGTTTTTGAATCCGAATACGGGTTTTTTGTGTTAAATGAGAAACTGGGGGGTTTTTTTTTTTTGAAGGGTACATTTGTGTTGCAAGATAATAAATTTCGCTGGCTATCACGAATTTCGACGGATCCATCGACGGAGAATGGATCGCAAGATCCTGAAAGTAAGGCTGCACAAGCAATGAGCATGTATTTGTATTTTCCTTGTGGGATTATAAGGGGCGCGCTTTCGAATTTGGGGATTCCGTGTGCTGTTTCTGCTGATATGTCCAGTCTTCCGGCCTGTGAGTATAACTGGATCTTAAGTACTTGTTGCTTGTCTATTAGTGTGCATTTTGTTATTTTGGGAAGGAATGTTAAGATTTGGCGTGTGAGTTATGAGATGACAAAGTATTGATTTTAGGTGTGTAGACTGATGGTTTAAGGTTTTGGTTTTGTGTGGAAAATTTAAGGGCTATCATGAAAATGGAACCTTAAGTTGTTTAATGAATTCAGGTTGGTTATGAATTATGATTACCTGATAGGAACTTTTAACTATTAGGTTTTTTTATTTATGAAGCAAAATATGCTTGTTGAACTTGTTTTTGAGAATCTTTGTTTTTGCTGAATTATTAAGCTGTGGAATTTGTACTCCATCTCCCGTCTGCAATGGGATGCATTGCAGTGGTTCTTTGGTTTTTTAAATTGTGTTACATGGACACCTTTATAGCAAATTGGTGATTGATTTGCCCTTCTTAATGTGATCAACCAAATATTTCGAACCACTCTTATTCTTATCAAAGAGGGTTAGCTAATCCGTGCCTTATGCATAGGTTTTTTATTCTTAAGTTTCTTCTTTGCCATGCCATCCATGCCCTTAACATCGCAAATGTCGTTGTCCCTATTTCTTTTCTTTGATCAGTCATGATTCATTTCTATTTCTTTTCTTTGACCAGTCATGAGATTGATGAAAATCTTAACCTTTAGTGTCTATTTACCTCAGCTCATTGTTTAGTCCACTAAACTAGCATCATATCTAAATTGTTTAGTCTTTCTTTAGTCTGGCAAGTTTCATGGTTACTCTCCCTCTCTCCATATAATTTTCTTTGGCATTCAGTTCATGGATCCTTGAAATTTTTATTTTATCTAACAGGCTTGTGACTGCTGTTGCCTTATTGACATTCAAGTTCCTTACACTTTCCGTTATTTAAAATCTCAAACAAATTTCTTAATAACATTTGGGTTATGTAGCCACCTAGTGTTGATTTTCTTATGACCTTGTACATAGCTGCAGCTTCTTGTTGCACTGATCTGTTACAATATTGTTTCTATCTGAAATTGCTTTATTTGTTAAACATGAATCTGGTAACCCTTAAACCTCTGGTCTGTCTGCATTCTCTACTTCATCTTCAGGTTCATATTTTGACACAATTCCAGTCTTTTGATTGTCAATCTCCTTGTGGTCATTAGAAAGTGAACTTGATTCTTTTAATCAACTTTATATGTAAATATGCATCTGGTTTTCTGGAGCCTCTCTACTCAATCTCTTGTTTGTGTTAGTTATTGCTCTGTCGAAATGTACTACCTGATGGGGAATGTGGAATGCTTTGCAACAATAGATGATTACATGTCCTGCTAGAGCCTTTTGTTCTGAATTTGGCACTTGGAAGTGGCCTTTGAGTATTTTCTTGTTGTGCTTTCTGGTCTGCCATATATTGCACAGATCTTTCTGCTTCTTATCAACTTTTTTGCGTCTCTTCTCATTTCGGAAAAATTGAATTTTCTGATGTCTAAAATGATGATTAATAAGATTTGAAGTCATCTTATCATGGTATATTGCTAATTTAAGTTTCATCGCTCTGCTCAAAGGCATTGCTCAACACATTTCTATATTCTGTTTGTTTGATTTTTATTGTTTGCATGAGTAGTGCCACAGAAACTGCTTGCCTTCTTTTCCACTTCTCACTGAAAAAGCACGGGCAACTTAAAACCTCTTTAGCTGGTTAAATCAAACAAATGAAGGCATCATTATTTTTTTTAATTTATTTTTTTCTCTCTATGGCTGTCAAACTCCTTCCTTGGACTGGTTCCAGCCACAGTCAAATGTAAACTCACCTTCTCTCCTTCATTGTCACATTGTCTCTATGCCACCATCTTGTATATATTGAAATTTAAAAAAAAGGGGAAAAACTGAATTTTGGGTTAAAAAAATTAATGGGTCCAAAATTCAGGGAAACTGTAATTCAGAGAATCAAAAAATTATTCTGGGTCGGAGAATGTGAAAAATTACCGAAATGCTCACTCCTAATGGGAAATATGGAAAATAGGAGTGCAGATGGGCGGAGTTTTGATGAGTGATTTTGATGTTCTGCCATGATGGTTTGGTTGGAATAAGAGATGATGCATCCTTACTTTGTTGCATTGTTCTGAGAGTGTGAGAGAAGAGAGAAATATAAAAGATATGCTTTTCAACCAGAACAAAAGTAGAGGTTGGCTTCAATTTGTAACGGATATGTAGCATGTGTCTTTAAGCAAGTGTTGAAGTGATTGCTGCTACCACTGCTCTTTGCATCTGTAAACACTGCATTTTGAATAACAATAGCTCACCATAACTGTGGTTGTTCACATGAACAGGTTCATTTGTGATCCGTATAAAGGCTTGAAAGGCATACAACAAATGGGCATCAAAATTTGGTTTGCGACCCACTTTGATACTCGGTTCCTCATTTTTCGTCCTTGAAAATGTAGTTGTCTGAGAATTTCTAAGCATCCCACAAAATATGTTTAAAGTTGCAGCAGTGGAATATCTTCAGAGGAATTCTATTACATGTATGTACCAGAATTTTAACTTGTAGTAGGTTATGTTGATTATAGACGTTCCATTAAATACAGCATGTTGTTCATTAACTAATGGCTTGATTGATCCACCAAGATAATTGATAAGTTTTTGAGTGCTGTGGTATCTCATTAATTGCAACACAATTAGAACCTCGTCTTTTTTGTGAGATGCTCCAAGGAACGGATGGATACAGGGACAGTGACTTGTGTATATATATATATCATTGAGAATTTATCTTTACCTTTGTAATTATCCAGGCATACAAATAATTGATGATTTTTTTCATCAAGCTTGCGCTTCATGTCTTAACTCAAAATCGCAAGTCTGTTTCTATCAAAATTGTCAAAACTTTAAAAAGAGACCTGCCACTTCAACGGATATCAGCTTAAGCCATCCAATTGACAGCGTATATAATTTTAACTTTGCGTATACGATTTTAATTTAAGTTTTTCTAGCATTTCTAACTTAACTTCAATTTGGCTGTTTATTAAATATATATTTTGCACTGTTTCAATTTTGTGTTTTATTCAACGTCAAGATATTTTAAACCAGTTTGTAAGTAAATCGAGACTAAATATTTGGTTTGAGAATATATATATATATATATATATCTCACAAAATATATTAAAGTTAATTAAAAAGTCTAAAACTTCAGAAGGAATTTGTATTGCAGATATTAATATATTATTGCTTGCAGAAGGTTAATCATGCTGCCAGCATAACTTTTACATCAAATACAACATGTTTTGTATTCGGCTTGCTATTAACTGACAGAGTTTATTTTATTTTATTTTATTTTTTGTCCATTAAATATAATATTATTTTGAAAGGTACTTTTACTATATAAAAAACACATTAAAAATTGAAAAATAGATGGAAGCACTCAATTGACACAAAACAAAAAAAAAACAGTATACTAAAGTGATAAAGATTAAGTTCATGCATTTGACTGAGATAAAATAAAAGTTGGTGTACTAACAAATGATTAAAAGATACATCATCAGATAAAATCTATTGAGAATTAAGTTCCAGATGAATTCTTTATTTGGTTTTGTAGTAGTCTCCAGTTTCAATTGTGTGGTGATTGGTGTTTATGCTGATTGTATCGCCTTAGACAGCAAATTATTGTGGGAAGATTTGACTGTGCTGAAGTTTGCTTTCGATCGTACTTGGTTTCTAATTGGGGATGTCAATGAGACTCTTCAGGCTCACTAGAGTGGCTCCAGATCATTAAGAATTTTTGAGTGAATGTAATCTCATTGAATATCCCCTAAATGGTCATGGATTCACTTGGTTTAAAAGTGGCTCGATGATCAGGATTGATAGAATATTAGCTAATTCCGAGTGTTTATTTTTGTGGTCATAGAATATTTTCATTTTTTGTCATCAGGAAATGTGGGCAGCGAGTTGTGCAGCCGAGTCAAATCAGTTCAGTGTCATCCTGAAAATTAAGCCTTTCGAGGAAAAAGCTTCGAGAGTTTGTCTTTGGCAATTTGCATACTAAGCTTAAGGAGGTGGCGGATAGAATTTATAATCTTGAATCTAATAGTGACTCTAGATCGCTTTCGGAATCATAATGGATAGGTCTCAGGAGCATGACTTCGGCGCGCTGGTCTACTAATAGAAAATTAGAGTTAATGGAAACAGAAATCTAGAGTTAATTGGTGTCGGCTTGGTGACAGGAATACAAGATTTTTCCATGTTACTGCATCAATCAAAGGTAAGCAGAATGCTATCAGAACCATTGCTGTGGGTGATCAGATTCTACGTACTCCTTAGAGAGACCCGTTGATATGGAAGAAGTTGAGGACGTCGTTTGGAGTTGTGATGGATCGAAGGCTCCAGATCCTGATGGATATAATTTTAATTTTTGTAAAAAAAGCTTGGCACTTGATTGGTAACGATATTTTTCTGATGGTTTCAGAGTTTTTCAGGACCAGAAGAATGCCGAACAGTATTAATAATGCTTATATCACCTATATCCCATAGGTTAAGCGTGCAGTTAGTTTCTCTGACTTCAGGCCAGTTGGTTTGATCAATGGTCTGTACAACTTTTAGATTGCGGTCTGTTGTGGGGTTAATCGGTCACAATCAGGCAGCTTTCATATCTGGAAGACCAATCTTAGACAGTGCTCTTCTCGCCAATCAGGCTATTCATAGCATGATGAGAAGGAAAATTGAAGGATTTATTTTCAGAAGTCATTTTCAATCATTTAAATATAATTTAAATGATGTTTTGAGATAATAATAAATAAATAAATAAATAATTTATTGAAATATTTATTATAAAAATAATTTTAAGGTATAAAAATAGTTCTTAAGAATATTTGATGTATCTATAAATTAAAAAATCAAATATTAATAGAAATAAAGAAAAAATAATTAAATAATTAATAATAACTGATAAAAAATAATTAAAAAATCAAATACAGCCTGTTGCTCATTCAAGCGATGACAAGAAATGTTCCCTGTAAATAGTGCCTGCTGTGCACTCAGTGATAAAGTTGGGTCTGTGTCCGGACCTCTTTTTTCTTGGAAAATCCAATGATCACATGCAATCTTTTCTTTCGATCGAGATCTCTTCAAATCAATGCTGAAAGATTTTGCCAACATAATTACAAAGCATCCAGTTTTTTTTTTTTTTCCCTCCCGAAAGAACTCTTTCCTAAAAAAGAAAATGATACTATTTACTTCCTGTTCTTATTATTTTAATTAATTCCAATAAACTTAGCTTTTCCGCTTGTAAATCAAATAAGGTGAAATCTTTAATATCTTTTTTCCATGTTTCCTCTGCAATGTGCCTAGTTGGATTTTCTTCAATATGGGTGGGTATAGAATATCATAATTGCACTAATCAATTTCCTGCGGTCGATTAATAAGCAGTTTTTTTATTTGTTTTTAACATCTTAATTCAAATTTTTATTAACCGAACTATCGAATTTGTGTATTTTTTTTAGTGTATGAAACCGATTTTTGCTTTTAGTTTTTGGTTTATCGATAAAATCTGAATTGTTTTTCTTTTTTTCAAATTTGTTTAAAAAATATAAATAAGCCTAAAAAAATTATGTTATAGACTATAGAATCTTTTTTAAAATTCAAATGATCTAAATTAGCTTATATAAAAAAATAAAAAATATCACAAAATCATACAATATAAGAGGGCATCAAAATTTAAACCCAAATCCACTAATTCACTTCTAAAATACCAAATGATAAAAACTATCAATTGTTAAAATATGTGTGTAAACCAAACTATTGAAATTCAAATCATTATAAAAAATTCAAATATGTTCTAAAAAGAACATTATATAATTCAATTTTAGTTGAAAACCAAATTAAAAATTTTAAAAACCAAAGCGAAATCAATTAATCAAAATTAATTCAGTTTTGATTTTTTTAATCGAATTTAATTAAAAACCAAACAAAATTAGTATTTAATATCAGTTTGGTTCGATTAATCGGTTTTAACAACGTCCTATTCAATTATACCATTTAGGAAAGTTGTAAGTTTTGCAATGATTTTTGCTGATAATTAGATTGTTAATTGTAGCTGTCATGATTACAAAAATATGTTTGGTAACACGTGCTGTTAAGGATTTTATATTATATAAAACTTAAAAATATCATCCTATATTAATAAACTATTTCTTTTGTTCTAAAGGGATCATTTACGTTTCTATTTATATTTGTCCTAAAATGATTACGAGGTTAAAACTGTAAGTGACATATTTTTTCAAAACACTTTTAATTAAAATTTATTTTATAAAAATTTTTCAAATACAATTATAAAAAAAGGATATTTTTAAAAGTACAAAAAAATAAAATACTAATATAATATAATAATTAATACTTTTTAATCTGTATAGAAAGAGGAAAGAGACAATTTCTTTAAAAATGATGGAATATTTACAAGGATAGATAAACATTAAATGGTAAAATAATAGTTGAGAAACACAAATAAAAATATGAACAAACATTATAAAACAAAACAGGAATAATAAAACATTCCATAACAAACAACCATCTACAATGACAGAACAATTCAACGATATCATCTAATTATTTATGATGCAACACTAATCATTTACCATGCTTGGAAAACGGAAACCATTTAAGATGCCACCTTTCTACTTTTTTTTTTTTTTTTTTTTTTATAGTTAAGTGAGGGTAAAGGTGTTAGGTTCCATCCAGTTATAATTAATTAAGGTAAAAATGTGTCAAGTTTCTTGTTGATCAAAGCGTTAACCAATTTCTAAACAAATTATTTAGCACAAATTGAGACATTATGTTAAATGGATTGAAGTGTTCTTGCTAAGCACATAATTTCACTTAAATTGAAGCATTCAAAAAATAATCTAATTGTACCTATAATTTTATCTTAAGGATTACTTGTGCTAAATATGTTAATTAAAAACGGATTGCTCTTTAACCAATAATAAAAAGGATTTGACACATTTTATATAAAAATAAAATTTTCGTAATTGTTGTGAATTTTACAAGTAAAAAGAATTACTCCATAATTAATGGTGGAAGTGGGTTTGCAAGACCTTTTATTGCCTTTAGGTTACTTAATTAAAGTACAAAAAGTTTTTTTTTTAAATATGGAAAGAAAAAATGTAAAACCTAGAAAAGAATAATAGAAATTTCTAATATTAGAAACTAATTGGACCAAAACAAACATAAAATAAAGATTTGATTTTTTTTTAAAATGATCCAACAGTGGGATATTTTTTTTCTTCTTATTCGAGATATTATGTGAATAAATCTACTAATAAATCTCTATTGGGAAGAACAGATCGCATGGGAAATCGGAATAGATCCCACTGTCGTACGTGTTGTCAATCAAATGGCAAGCTTTTTGAACTTGTTGGAACGCTACACTCAATAACTTAACTGCCTCTGCCTGTCTCCTTCCTCGCACCATCTTAGGGTTTACACAGAGGTTCTTGTCCTGATACAAAGGTTCATGCATTTTTTATTTCTTCATTTACATTTCATGTTAATGTGATAAGTATATCATGAGGTTTTTTTTTTTTTTTTTTGGTTGAAATAGTAAAGTTGTTTCTTTTTATAAAATATAGGAAATGGTGAAAGTGGTTGAACAACGTGAGGAGGATGTTAAAATTCAGGCGAAAAAATGTGAGGAGTGTACTGCCGAACTGGAAAATAAGGAAAGACAATTGGGTTTGGTGAAAGATTGGATTCTGGTATGTGAATTGGGTTTGAGTTCTAGGGAAAATGAATTGCATTTGGTTTGGCAAGAGATTAAGGATTGCAAAGTGATGCTCAGTGTGAAAAAAGAAAAATTGAGGTCGGTGCAGACAGATATTGAATTGAAGGAGAGAAATTTGGGTTCGTTGGAGAGGTTATCTGAAGAGCTTTGCAAGGAGATTTTTGAGAAAGTTGAGAAATTGGGATCTGTACGGAAGTTGGTTGAGGAACAATCTAAGGAGCTTGAATTCAATGGGAGGGAGGTAGAAAAAGTAAAAAAGTTGATTGCGAATTGTGGTTGTGATCTTGAGTTAAAACAGAAGGAGTTACGAAAGGTGTGGAACTTGATTGATGATTGTAATGGTGAGCTTTCATCGAAGGAGATGGCATTGAAGATGTTGCAGGAGAGGAGTTCTGCTGAATTTGTTTTAAAGAAGAACGAACTAGATGAAATTCAAAAATCAATTGAGGAGCGCTCGAAGGATCTTGATTTGAAAAAAGCGAGCTGGAGAGAACTAAAGGATTGATCCAGGTATACGTAAATGAGCTTGATTGTAAAGAGAAGGAACTGAATCTAATACAAAAATCGATTGTGGAGAGCTCAAAAGAGTTTGATACGAAAAAACAACATCTTGGATCTATCAGTTTGTTGATTGATGAATATACAGCAGAACTTGAAACTAAAGAGGAGCAAAATGATGGACTAAAGAAGTCTATCAATAAGTGCTCTGCAGTGCTGAAATCAAAAGAGACTGAGTTGAAGTTGATTGAAAATTCTATCAAAGAGCTCTCATTGAAGCTTCCAAAAAAAGGGAGAAATTGGATTTAGCCCTACAACTATTGGAATGTTGTGTCAGAAAACTTGAATCAAAAGAAGAGGAGCTCAATAAAATCAAAGGAAGAATAAATGCGTACAATAAAGAGCTTGAATCAAGAGAGAGGGTGTTCAATGCCATTCAAATGTCCATTGAAGACCGAAGTGAGGAACTTACAGGGAAGGAGCAGCAACTGAAATCTGTCCAACTATCATTAGGAGAATGTGAGACAGAACTTGAAGAAATGAAGGAACAGAAAAATTCAATCCAAAAATCAATTGTGGAATGCTCTGAGGAACTTCAACCAAAAGAGAAGAACCTTGTTTTGACAAGAGAATCTCTCAGAGAATGCTGTGACGAGCTGGAATTGAAAAAGGTGCAGTTGTATTCAATTCAAAGATCTTCCCACGAGTTGAAAAAGAAGTTTGAAGAAAGAGAGAAACATCTCAATTCACTTGAAAATACATTAGACGAACGCTTGAAAAATCTTGGAGTGAAGGAGAGGCAGTTTGAAGAACGTGTCAAGGAGATTGAATTGAAAGAGCAACTATTACGTTCAATGCAAAAATCAGTAGAACAACGCCATAAAGAAGTGGAGTTGAAAGAGAAGCAATTAGATAACATCCTTTATTTATAGAGTGCCTTTTTTCCTTGACTGTGAACCTGATGGTTGATCTAATTATCTGAATTGCATGACTAACTATCGTTGGTGATTGGTTAACTTTACATTCAGTTTAATGCATATATTTATGGTCTACATATTTCTTTGAATTCTTTTTCTTACCTATTTGTGTTGGTGTATGTATTTTAGCCTGTGAAAACAGAGTAGCACGTAAGTTATTTCCTTGCTGGGAGTATTCTCGGCTGCTAGTCTTGGCTGCTTACGTTCTTTTTTTCTTTATTTGAGGTGCTGCGCTTTTTGGACCTGGCATTTCATTCTACCAGTCTTTAGTCTCCTATCCTTTTGTTTCCAGAATTCTTCTCAATGCTTTTAGCAAGTTAACAATTGTATTGCTGAGACATGGATTGTTCACTTTTTCTGGTTCTAAGGCCTGGTTTAATGCTCCCTTCCTGCTGGTATTCCTCTCTGCAGTTTAGTTTCTGTCAATTTTGGGACAGCTTGCTAATGATATCTCAGAATTCTATTTTGGTATCGGTAGAAATTAAGTTTGGTTCGATATTCTTAGTTCCATTTGTTGCTTCCTTCTTTCACTCAGTTGCCACAACTGGGTTTTGCTGGAATTGCTGGTTCGATATTTTTAGTTACTCTGCAGCTGATTTCTGGGTTTTTCAGTTTGGTCATTCATCGGAGTCTTTCTTTCTGCAATTTGAGGGACCTCTTGTTTTTCTTGTTCTTGCTCATTCATGGAGCTCCTTGGATTATGGATTATGGAAGACTTGTTTTTATCGAACACTCTTATTTCGTTTCCTGATTTAATTTTCTCGCTGGGTTTCCTTTCTCCTTTTGGGTTCTTTCGTCTTAACTTTGTTGCCCCATGTCTCTAATCTAGCTACCTCTATCCTTAATAAAATGATTCATGATTAAAAAAAAAAGAAGTTTGAATTAGTAGCCAGAGACCACATCATTAAAGTAGCATCAGCAGAATTTCAATGGCTTGTCGGGACTGGCTGTGTTCTGCTTCCTGTGCTTGTTACTGTATAATCTGACTGTGATTGTTAATTTTCTTCTCAGGGCCTTTTTTTTCTCCTGTCGTTGGATTTTTCTTCTTCCTTTTGATTGATAACTACTTTCTTAGATACTAGTAGGATGTCTTGAGAAATCCCAGGTCTGAGTGTAGGGAAATTGGTTGTTTAGGCAAGGGTCTAGGTTCTGCTTTGAGTGCTTAGGGCCTAGGAAGCAGGGACCAAAAAAAAAAAAAACCTCATGACACTGTTATGCCTAATCCTGAAAATTAGTGGTTTCATAAGCCATCTATTGATACCGCAGCATCCTAAAACTTCTAGATTTTGACCTTAATTTGTATGCTCTGAAATTTTTTACCAGTTGATTTTGTAAGCATAAGCGTTCCTAGGTCTTCAACTATGGGCCCACTGCTTTGAATATTTAAACAGTTTGGCTAGATTTGCCAAAAAAATTGTCTAAACTCTTGTAGTTCATGAAGTGTAAGTATATTTTGTGTCTGGACCTGGTATATTTCTTATTAATGATGTATGAACCTGATCTGATTATTAATGATGGTTTCATTTCTCCCTTGCTTAGGTAGCAACATCCTTTCTTTGCATGCCAGGATTGACCAAACAGATGTTAGGAATCCAAAACATGCTTCATCTTCAACCTTTCAATTCAATGCCACCGCCAGTGAGAGGAGTTCACAACCGGTAAATGAGTGCGTGAACACGCACCATCTGATGCACCTTGGAGTTTCAGTCGAACCAGCAAAGTATGTTTTGGATTTTATGCTCTGGTCATTTTCCCAGAATTGGAAGAATGGAGTTGCAGGCTTGGATGCAAGTGTCAAGAGGAATCATGTTCTTCTATTGGAGCATCTAATGAAAGTCTCACCAAAAATAAGTCCTCAGGTGAAAGAAGATGCAATAAAGCTGGCGGTTATTTGGGAAAAGAATATAAGATTGGAGACTGAGGATTCTATGGAGGTTTTGATGTTTTTGTTTTTTTTGGCCATATATGGATTGGTTTATTGTTTCAGCAGAGACCGAATTTTAAGACTTATTGGAACTATTGCTCACAAAAAAGAGGCTCCTGAAATATTCAAGGCCCTCGGTTTTGCAGATAAGGATCTGGTTCCGGGTAAGTTTACAGATCGTTTGCTGATAAGGAATATAGTTATCTGCTCATACATTACATTTTTCTTTGGAGCAGTATTTTTTTTTTTTTTAACCTGATCCTTTTTTTTTCCTTCTCATTTGCAGTTTTTATTGAGAATCTTTTTGGAAACAAGCAATATATTGCTGCTGCTAGGTTTAGTTATGCATTTGGGGTGGTCGGCAGGTTTTCACCAGAACTCATCTTAAAAAAATACATGGAGGATGCCTGTTCGTGCAAGGGAATAGATAATTCGAATGAAGCACAGGCATGTGTATTCTACAGCATCCCTTTTATCATGGTCTGCTTTTTAGTTAATGATCCTATTCTCTTTACACAAACACACACACACTTGCGTGCACAAACAAACATGTACATCTGCTCTCAAGTAGCATGGAAAGTATGTTTTATTGACAATGGGACATTGGTGCAGGGTAAGGCCATAGACGAAGCTTTATCTGCTCTTAGATCCATGGCGGAACTTGTAGCAGATTGCAAATATGAATCGAGATACATGATTGAGGATATTATTCGTTCCGTTTCTGCTCTGGAAAAGAGAAAGGCAGCCTGGACTCTCTCCTTACAATAATGATGAATTCTTAACCTTTAGTGTCTATATACCTCAGCTGATTGTTTGGTCCACTAAACTACCATCGTATCTAAATTATTTAGTCTTTCTTTAGTCTGACTGACAAGTTTCATGGTTACTCTCCCTCTCTCTATATGTAATTTTCTTTAGCATTCAGCTCAAGGATCCTTGGAAATTTTATTTTATCTAACAGGCTTATGATTGCTGTTGCCTCACTGACTTTCAAGTTCCTTACACTTTCCGTTATTTAAAATCTCAAACAAATTTCTTAAATGACATTTGGGTTATATAGCCACCTAGTATTGAATTTCTCATGACCTTGTACGTAGCTCTTGTCTCTACGCCACCATCATGTGTAGATTGAAATTTTAAAAATGGCGAAAGCCAAACTCTTATTTTGAAAAAAAGGATCAAATAATGAAAGTTTAACATCTTGATTTCAATCTGTTATGATTAGAACTTCTGTTTTAGTGATGATTTCAACCATAAGCTAGAAAATATTATTGATTGTTATGACATATCAATATTTTTTATTCATATTTTTTTAAGAATGGTATTTGAATAATCTTTTGCAATATATATATATATATATATATAATCCTACTCAATTTTTTCATCGCTAGAAAATAGCAATCCTAATTTTTCCTTCATTCATTATAAAGTCATTAATTTGAGTCCTCCCAACTTTGATGCTCCTTATGCCCTTTTTCGGTCTCATGTCTATTTAGGCCTTTTGTCTCTGTAATTCGCTTTTAACCATTTCTCCTTACAAACAATAATCTATATATCTTATTAATACTTCTTTTCTTAATTTTTAGTAGTGAAAGAAGATTCTGCTTAATGACATATTAGTTTCCACTTGAAAAAGAAAACATGGAAATGATGTTTTTTGAGATAGAAATATTTTTATTTCATTTGAAAGAAAAAAATAATCTTAAAACAATTTTAATAACAAAAATGCATATATGAATCTTGATTAAATTATTTCTCCTTACTTTTTTTAAGGAAAAAGAAACTTATGCAACGTATCAATTCTTGTTTCTTTTCTTTATACTTATATTATTTAAAATATTCTTTTATAAAAAAAATATTCGTGGAATTATGTAATATTATTATTTACTTAAAAAAATCTATTTAATGTTTTAAATCTTTTTTTTACTTATAGTATTTAAAGAAATTTCTTTCATCAATGAAAATCACATCTTAAAATAATTCCTTTTGATTTTAAAAAAATAAATTTAAATAGCACAATAATAAATTACCAAACAGTTAAAATAGTTTAGTATGTGTTTAGTAATGCAGTGCATATAATTTTATAAAAATGTATTTGATTGAGAGATAAATACTGCAGCCCAATAGTTTGACACTTAATTAAAAAAATATTATCATCAGTAAGTAATTAATCAATGGGATAAATAAATTTTATTAAATGGAGTTTTTAAAAAGATTTTGACGGACTTAACCGTTAAGGCAAAGGCCTTTTTTTACAATAAATTGTCCAATGTCATTTTCTCCATTAATCAATTCAGATCTGCTTGGATATATTTCCTAACCAGATAAATTTTTTTGCCATGTAAGACAATAAACAGTCCAATGTCATTTTTCTTTTTTCTTTTTTTCCTTTTTCACATTGGAAGATCGGATTTATTGTCTAAATAACCAATTATTTAGGAAAAGATCCACCAAAAATTGGTAAGGAAATATTTCCCAGAAGATCTGAATTGATTAATATGATTTTTTTTGTTGACAAATTAGTAAAACAAATTAGAATTGTAGGAAGCTGAAATCAAGCATTAACCATCCTGCCTTGTTTGAATAACTTGAAGGGTATGTATAAGACCATAAGTCCCATTAGCATCAAACCAAAAAACCCTCGAGAATTAAAAAAAAAAGACAAAGATGGCTGGCTATTCGTGGCCCAAGTATCCTCCCTGTGCAAGAGCATCATGCACCGAGCCTGAATGTTGTACTCAAGGTAGGTTTGCTTTTTCTCTACTCTGATCACTCTCTCCATCATGCTTGCATACTCATTCTATTGCATTAATTTTAAATGGTTTTCAATAGAATTCCTTCAGAAATATTCTCTTTCTTCCAACAATATATTTTACTTTGACATTTCACATAGTTTTAAAAAAATTATTACTTCAAATATTTGTATTTGAACAATTTGTTACAAAATAAACATTAATTAAAGATATTTAATGTTTCGACAAAATAAGCTTTTTTTCAACAAACATAATAGAAATGTACAAAATATCAGGAAATATCAAAATTAGCATACTGGAATATTGGCATGCTGTATGTCCATGCAATGTATGTGTAGTCCTGAGGGGACATCGATAAAAAACTTAGATTTTCCAAGCATTGGATCTGTTCTCCGACAAAATATATATATATGTGTGACTAAAAGATTCTAACCATTCCTGAATTTTAAATCATTTGAAATTAAGTTTTTAAACTTTTTATTAGTTTTGAGAATCTTCAAGCTTTTATTTTTTTTAAATTGTTTTTAGCTCATCCTTCAATTTTTTTTTTTTTTGTGGAGCTCCTAAAAAAATTGGGATAATTTTAGAATTATTTTCTATTTTTCTTGGTTTTTTATATTTTTAATATACAAAAAATAAACAAATATAGTTTTTGATTTTGAGAATTTTTGAATTTTTTTTTACAAAATGGATTAAAAAAATTTCCAATATGTGTGCATAATTTTATATCAAAATACCAAGAACTGAATTTTTTTAAAAAAATAATAATCATTAAAAATCATTAAATGAATTAAATCTCAAAAAATTATAAGTTTTAAGATTTTCAAAATCAATAAAAAAAATTCACGTACTCAATTTGAAATGACTTCTTAAGAGGTACTTAGATCCTTTTATTTTATATATATTCATGTTGGTAAAATTAATAGTGTTGTGTTCCTAAAGAACTGTCATGGGTAAATTTCCTGATGTGATAAACATTGACGTTCTTGGAATTTGATGTGTGTGTGTGTATATGCTGCAGGGGGAATGGCCGTCTGGGCTGAACTGCAAGGAAAGCAGGCATCAGAAGCCAAAGCTGCAATCGAAAAGCAATATCCATGGGTGACTGTTGTGATCCTACCTAAAGATGATCCTGGAAGTTTTGATTTCTGTTGTAATCGTGTATTTCTTTTCATTAATAGCAATGGCCAGGTCGTGAACGTGCCTCAAATTGGTTGATGAAATAATCTTTCGTATTGTGTAGCCCGAAGGCTCATGGACCTTCTATGAATAAAAAAAGGCTCATATTAAATAAATTAATTCAGCACAAAAATTCAATTAATATTTAATTTGATACATAAACCTGATTAAGTAATTAATTGTGGTACATAGATGGTACCTCTAAATTAATGAATTCCACAATCACTTTTTACTGGGTCCTAGAGAAAAATAACCCATGTACTTAAGGATATAAGAAATACTCTGCGATAGGAAATCTTAGCGTTAAAATTCCTGGGGCATCTTTCTTATTTTAACAGGATTTTCATTTCATGGATTTTGACAGGATTTTCATCTTCCTAAAGAAATAAATTCCAGAGTCACTTTCTAGTGGGTCTTGGGGAAAATAACTCCATGTACTTGGACTTGGGCCTATGGATATAAAAACAGTAGAAAATCTTAACTTAACATACCTCTCGGGATATCTTTCTTATTTTGACGTAATTTTCATCTCATATATAGATATAAGAAATTATTTCGTGACTAAGGTAGCATGAACCTAGGGATATAAGATAATAAATTCCACAATCAGTTTTTAGAATAACCCCATATCATAGGGATACAAGAAATACTTCTACAATAGGAAATCTTAGTATTAAAAACATCTTTTTTTTATTTTGAAAGAATTTTTATCTCGTGGATATAAGAAATTATTATACTGAACTGTCATAAACATACTCTTATAGAGTAATTTTATTTATATATATTTATAAATAATGGGGTATTTTCGATTTACATTTAGCATCAATTAAAATTAAATGTATCACTTTGTAGACTAAATTAGTAATAGATCATGTTTAGTCTTTGATTAATTCTAAAAACTGAACTTTTTTTATATTTAATGCCACATAAAATGGAGAAAAAAGTTTGTCAAGAATGAGAAATGAACCCTATAAACCAGAGACTCTTTTTAATATTTTACCTAAAATCTGTGGTGAATAAAGTAATAAATTCTTCAATCATTTATAATGGATCCCAGGGGAGCAAAAACAGAAAGAAAAAAAAAAAAAACTCAATGTACTTGAATTTGGGCTTGGGCTGAGGGTTGTAAGAAATTCTCCGTGATAGGAAATCTTCGCATTAAACATGCAATAATTTAATTCAATTTTCGATCATTGACAAAACTTCAAGAATTGGTCCTTTGGCAATATCTACAAAATTTCTTGAACTTTTTGTCCGTTGACATTTTGATTTTTTTTATATATATATTTTATCTTCCATCAAACTTATATTTTTACACAAATCTAATTATATAATTGTTAGAGAACATATTTCACATTAAATACATATTAAAAAAATAAATAATATACAAAGTTGAGAAGATGTCACTCGCAATAAAGTTTAAATTTTTTTTAATAAAATTCAATTTTAATTATCTAATTTTACATGGTATTAAAACTTCAAAAACAATCTACTCATATTTTGTAAAAAATTGTTGAATTTGCTATGAGTTCATCAACTTTGTCTACAATCTACTCATATTTTCATATTTTTTCTAAATAGTTTTTGAAAATCAATTGAAGTATTTAACATTAGAAAAATTAAAAAACAATTTGATAACAACAAAATAATTTTAACCTTTTTTTTTTTTTTTTACAATTGTACAAAAAAATATAGATTTAATGTGTGATTGTTGACACTAAGTTGGAATAGCATTACTAATGATGTAAAACATTTTTTTTTTATATAAAGAAAGCTGTAAAAAGAATTTAGTTGGAGAAGAAGAATACAAATATAGAAAGAACAAAAATTATAAAAGAGAGAGATTATAAAATCACATGCCTTCTCTCTTTGACTGCATTATTTAGTTTTCTAATTCATTTTTTTTTAAATATAAATTTTCATAACATGTACAAGTGATGAAGTCCATGTTGCATAAAATACTCTATTATGAAAAATAAGATTAAGACTATTCTATTTTAAAAATATGAATTTTAAGCTAGCTTATTTTAAGAAAATACTCCTTGTATAATTCATTAATAGGTTCATCTGTGATCCGCATAACAGCTAGATTAATGTCGTACGATGTGCATTCAGACTGGGTTTTGATAGATCAACTCACTACCAAATTAGATGTTTTTTCCTTGCTTGCTTTTATTAAAATTTCAAAGGGTGTGTTCTAATGGAACAATACTCCATATAACTTTCTATGAAAGAGCATCACTTTATTCAAAAAAAAAAACAAAAAAACAAAAAAACAAACGGGGAATAAATGTCCCCAAAATATGTCAAAAGTTGTCTTAAGTCACATATTCATGTTATAACATGATCATTCTACTAAATACAGTTTTTTTTTCTTTTCTATGAATCCCTAAAAATACGTGTCGATTCCTTTTGGACATGTAACATTTATATTTAATCAACTATATTTGTCAAGATTTTTTAAATTTTATTTTCTACATAGGTGCAATGAAAAGAGCATCAACATAGGCATCACTTTATTCAAAAAAAAAAAAAAAAATAGTCCCCAAAATAAGTCAAAAGTTGTCTTAAGCCACGTATTCTTGTTGATGATATAATCATTCCACCAAATATAGTTTTTTTTTCTCTTAAAATTAAGTTTCACCATTGATTTTTTTTTGGACATGTAACATAATTATATTTAATTAACTATATTTGTCAAGATTTTTTAAATTTTATTTTCGACCTAGGTGTAATGAAAATATCTCCATGTACGCTAAGGAAAAAAAAATCAATTTTAACGTAATAGTTAATGCCTTTGTTTGAAATGAATATGTTGCCTATAAACTGGGTGCCTGCTGTGCATGAGCCTAAAAGTGAAATTCTTATAAAGACAAGAATATTGGATAAATAAAGAGCGACAGGCAAAACGTCAAGCACAAGATAAAAACAAAAGCCAAAAAGAACATAAAAAACACAGCACTAATAGTGATTACGGAACCAATATATTAAAGATTAGTTTTGTCTGCGTCAGAACTCAGGATCTCAACACTGGCCATCAAATCAAATACAGCCTGTTGTTTGTTAAGTGATGACAAGAAATGTTTCCTGCAAATAGTGCCTGTTGTGCACTAAGTGATAAAGTTGGGTCTGTTTGCGGACCTCTTTTTTGTCTTGGAAGTTGGAAGATCCAATGATCACATGTAATCTTTTCTTTCGATCGAGATCTCTTCAAATCAATGCCCAAAGATTTTGCCAACATAATTACAAAGCATCCCAGTTTTTTTTTTTCAAATGATATAAATCAGTCCAAAACAATTATGTTATAGACTATAGAATCTTTTTTTAAATTCAAATGATCTAAACTAGCTTATATAAAAAATAATAAATATAACAAATCATACAATATAATAAGTTATCAAAATTTAAACACAAATCTACTAATTTACTTCTAACATATATAATGATAAAAACTATCAATTGTTCACGTGTGTAAACTAAACTATCGAAATTCATATCATTATAAAAAAATTCAAATATGTCCTCAAAAAATTATATAATTTAATTTTTGATGAAAATCAAATTAAAAATTTTAAAAACTGAAGCAAAATTAATTCAATTTTGGTTTTATTGACTGAATTTAATTAAAAACCAAACCAAACTAGTATTTAATGTCGATTTGGTTAGTTTAATCGGTTTTAACCACTTACTATTCAGACCTGAGTTTGGGAAAGCTGCAGGTTTTGCAATAATTTTTGTTGTGATTACAGCTCTTAGATTGTTAATTATGGTTGGCATGATTGCAAAAATATGTTTGATAACACATGCGATGCTAAGGATTTTATATTATATAAAACTTAAAAATATCGTCCTATATTAATAATTTTTTTTTTTTTTGTTCTAAAGGGATCATCTATCTTCCTATTTATATTTCTCTTAAAATGACTGTAAGGTTAAATCTGCAAGTGATTTGTTTTTTTTTTTTAAATACTCCTAATTAAAATCTATTTTATAAAAAAATTTCAAATACAATTGTAAAAAAGGTATTTTTGGAAAGTGTGAACGAAAAAATAAAATACTAATATGAAATAATAAATAATATTTTTTAATCTGTATAAGAAGTCAAAAGAGATAATTTCTTTAAAATTGATGGAATATTTACAAGGATAGATAAACATTAAATGATAAAATACTAGTTGAGAAACACAAATGAAAATATGAACAGACATCATAGAACAAAACAGAATAATAAAAACATTCCATGACAAACCACCATCTACCACGAGAGAACAATTCAACCATATCATTTAATTATTTATGATGTCAAGGAACCATTTATATATGATGCCACTTAATCATTTACCATGCTTGAAAAATGGAAACCATTTATGCCACTTTTCTACCATTTTTTTTTGTTTTTTTTTGTTTTTGCTCCTTTTTTTTTTTTTTTTTTTGTTGAGTGAGGGTAAAGTTGTTAGGTTCCATCAAATTATCATTAATTAAGGTAATAATTAAGGTAATATATATGTGTGTGTGTGAGAGATACATTGCGTTAAATGGATTAGAGCGTCACATGCTAAATAATTTCACTTAACTAGAAACATTCAAAAAATAATCCAATCTTATCTATAATTTTATCTCAAGGATTACTTGTGCTAAATATTTTAATTAAAAACGGATTGCTCTTTAACCAATAATAAAAAGGATTTGACACATTTTATCCAAAAATAATAATGAAAATTTTCGTAATTGTTGTGAATTTTATAAGTAAAAAGAATTACTCCATAATCAATGGCAGAAGTGGGTTTGTAAGACCTTTTGTTGCTTTGGTTTGCTACTAGTTGGTTGTCCGCGCTACACTCGCGGATACGATATAATCAAAACATTTAAATTTTAAATTTTTTTTAATTATAATTTTTTTTTAATTAATTTTTAATTTTTTTATAAATCTTCTGCTAAAAAAAACACAATCATTGTTCTTTATGGATTGGTTTTAACATAAAAAATTATAATAATTTTAACTAAAATACTAATCAAGAATTAAAAAAAATTAAAAATATAATTTTCATAATATTGTATTCTAAAAAATAAAGTTATAATTAATATACATATTTTTACAAAAATTAAAAAATGAAAAAAATTCTTATTTAATGTTGATGAGAAGATTAATTTTGAACTAACATGCACAACGATATAATTAGATAGAACAAAATCATTTCAGAATTTCATAATTTTTTATTTCATTATAACTATTTTTTTTTTGTGTTTTTCATAAAATTTCTACTAAAAAAATGATTTATTCTTCTTTATTAAGAGATTCTTAAATAAAAATTTGTAATAATTTAAACTTAAAATATTAATTAAGAATTAAAAAACAAACACTTTAAAACTATTTTTTATAAGAATATATCCAAAAAATAAAGTTACAATTAATGTATAGACTTGCTTAAAAAATAATCAATGAAAAAATAAAATTTTATTCTTATTTAATGTTGGTGAAAAGATTTTTTTTTCAAGTATATGCATTTGATCTATATATAGTTATTTACAAAATAATCAATAAAATTTGCATAAAAAACTATAAAATATTTGAGGTTGGGGGGTGAGTTTTCAAAACTTAGTAAGCATAACACATATTATAAATCGCTATACATACAATTATGCCAATGCACATATCATACATGATTTGCAACCAAGCAAACAATCAATAACATTTTTCTTTTTCTTTCTTTCTTAACAATTAATAATAGCATAACAATTTCTTGAAATCACTCTATGCAGAATCGTCTATTCCTTTGGCCTTCAAAAGGGTAACTATGGCCCTCGCAAGGGTAACTCAGAACTCTAGCCCCCGCAGGGGTAAACTCGAGGGAAGCACTCGCGGCCATTCCCTAGCCGGTAAATACTAGGTGCACCTAGGCTAACTATAACCCCGTTAGCTTAGTTAGTCCCGCATAGACTTCTTTCAAGTCATCAATCTCATTATTATCATTCAACACATAGCAATCATACAATTCCATTTAATGCAAATGATCATCATATCAACATGCACATATACCATTCAATGTATCAATATTCCTTTAATAACCATAATTCATACGGCAACATACCAATTCAATTCATCCATACTAAAATAATTCAATTCACATGCAATTATTATTATTATTATTATTTTAATAATTAAGCATTTATCCAAACAATCGATTTTCACCTCACAATTAATATAGACATATATGATAGTAAAGACTCATAATAGGTGTTATACTTACATCTAATCTAAAGGAACACCCCCAAATTATAACTGCGTCTTCTTTAAGCAGACTTCTTCCACCAAATCTTCTCTTACCTCTATCATCATAAATTTGCATTCATCAATAATAACAATAATTAAACACTAATAAATTGAAATTCAAGCTTAATTGGACCCTAATTAACCCATTCACTCACTTTCCCTAAATTTCCTAAACTAACATAAACCCTAATTTTAATTAAACCTAATCCCTAATTCAAATTCTTAATTCAAAAATAAAATTTACTAAATTACCTATAACCCATCCTAATTAAGGTTATAATTAACTAAAACATTCAAAAAAAAAATCCAAAACTCACTTAATAAATCTTTTTCCTTCTTCCTTATTTCACCTCTTTTTTACCCTCATTTTTCTTCTCCTTACCTGAGTCACTCCACCACTGTCGTCGCCGGAGCTGTCGCCAGAGTGGGTGGTCACCGGCGAGTCTTCTTCTTCCTCTCCTTCCTTCTCCTCTCTTTCCTTTCTTCTTTTTCTTTCTCTGCTCCCCTTTCCCGTTTTTCTTTTGTTTCTTTTCTGGTTTCTGCCAATCTTTCCTTTATTTCTTTATTTTCTTTGCTTTTAAATTACCCTAATACCCCTCGTTTAAAAACCCTCTTTTATTTACTTACATGGGCTTATGGGTATTACAGTATTACAAAAACAAATTAAACTCTTGCTTTTTGTTGAGGATTTTTAGCAGATAGTAGTGGGTTATGGTTATGATTCAACTTTCTATTCGAAGGCAATGGAAATAGGAAAATTGAGGATTCTGCGGGTGAAAGCATATTGTGGTGTAGCCTTCCTCGGGCTTGTTCTTGTTTTCCCTTCTTCCCACTTGCGAGAGAGAGAGAGAGAGAGAGAGAGAGAGAGAGAGAGATTTTTTTAGACCAATGCGTGAGTGGGGAAATAATTTCACATCTTTTAAGAAAATACTAAGGAATCTTAAATCAAGTAAACATGAATTAGCCTTCTCAAAAAAGAAGTAAACAGCAATTATCAATTGAAGATTTAATTGAAATCATTGTTATCTAATTAATCACTTCTAAAGAAGTTATATTAATTGCCACAAATGAAGTTTAGTATAAAGACAGCAAAGCCTTGTTTGGTTCACAATAATTGAAAATAAAGATTAATTCATTTGGATTTTTATCCATTATTTTATATATAATTGCAACTCTCTCTCTCTCTCTCTCACACACACACACACACACGAACTTGAAATCACCTCCATCAAGTTTGTGTAAATACTAAAAACCTTAAGGGTAATTAATGTAATCTACTCTTTTAAATTTGAGAATCCCACACCATTCCTATCGTCAAGCTACCAAGCTTTTTGAACTTGTCAGAACCTTACTTTCGATAACTTAATTGCCTCTGCCTCTGCCTGTCTCCTTCCTCGCACCATCTTAGGGTTTACGCAGAGGTTCTTGTCCTGATACAAAGGTTCGTGCTTTTTCTGTTTCTTCATTTACATTACATTACATGTTAATCTGATAAATATATCATTGTTTTTTTTTTTTTTTTAAACCGTAAACTTGTTTCTTTTTATAAAATGTAGGTTCTGTCTATGGATGGATGATTTAAAAGTTGCTGATATAAAGAAAGAAAGTTTGCATAAATTTTTTGATCAACTAAATGCAAGAGCCTCCTCAATTCTTTCATTCACTCTTGAAGGGAAAGATTTGGAGGCTCATTGTGAATCTACAAAGGCTTCTTTGTTAAGGCAAGTAGAAGAACTTGCCTTGCTTGAGAAGAAAAATATGGAAATGGTGAAATTGGTTGAAGAACGTGAGGAGGATGTTAAAATTAAGACGAAAAAATGTGAGGAGTGTACTGCCGAACTGGAAAATAAGGAAAGACAATTGGGTTTGGTGAAAGATTGGATTCTGGAATGTGAATCGGAGTTGAGTTCTAGGGAAAATGAATTGCATTTGGTTCGACAAGAGGTTAAGGATTGTAAAGTGGTGCTTGGTGTGAAAAAAGAAAAATTGAGGTCGGTGCAGACATATATTGAATTGAAGGAGAGAAAATTGGGTTCGTTGGAGAGGTTATCTGAAGAGCTTTGCAAGGAGATTTTTGAGAAAATTGAGAAATTGGGATCTGTGCGGAAGTTGGTTGAGGAACTATCTAAGGAGCTTGAATTCAATGGGAGGGAGGTAGAAAAAGTAAAAAAGTTGATTGCGAATTGTGATTGTGATCTTGAGTTAAAACAGAAAGAGTTACGAAAGGTGTGCAACTTGATTGATGATTGTAATGGTGAGCTTTCATCGAAGGAGATGGCTTTGAAGATGTTGCAGGAGAGGAATTCTGCTGAATTTATTTTAAAGAACAACGAACTAGATGAAATTCAAAAATCAATTGAGGAGTGCTCGAAGGATCTTGATTTTAAAAAAGGGAGCTGGAAAGAACTAAAGGATTGATCCAGGTACACATAAATGAACTTGATTGTAAAGAGAAGGAACTGACTCTGATACAGAAATCGATTGGGGAAAGCTCAAAAGAGTTTGATACGAAAAAACAGCATCTTGGATCTATAAATTTGTTGATTGATGCAAAAACAGCAGAACTTGAAACTAAAGAGGAGCAATATGATGGAGTAAAGAAGTCTATCAAAAGGTGCTCTGCAGTGCTGAAATCAAAAGAGACAGAGTTGAAGTTGATTGAAAATTCTATCAAAGAGCTCTCACTGAAGCTTCCAAAAAAACGGGAGAAATTGGATTTAGCCCTACAACTTGTGGAATGTTGTGCCAGAAAACTTGAATCAAAAGAAGAGGAGCTCAATAAAATCAAAGGAAGAATAAACACCTACAATAAAGAGCTTGAATCAAGAGAGAGGGAGTTCAATGCCATTCAAATGTCCATTGAAGACCGAAGTGAGGAACTTAAAGGGAAGGAGATGCAACTGAAATCCGTCCAACTATCATTAGGAGAATGTGAGAAAGAACTTAAAGAAATGAAGGAACAGAAAAATTCAATCCAAAAATCAATTGTGGAATGCTCTGAGGAGCTTCAATCAAAAGAGAAGAACCTTGTTTTGACAAGAGAATCTATCAGAGAATGCTGTGATGAACTGGAGTTGACAAAGGTGCAGTTGGATTCAATTCAAAGATCTTCCCTCGAGTTGAAAAAGAAGTTTGAAGAAAGAGAGAAACATCTCAATTCACTTGAAAATACATTAGACGAACGCTTGAAAAATCTTGGAGTGAAGGAGAGGCAGTTTGAAGAACGTGTCAAGGAGATTGCATTGAAAGAGCAACTATTACGTTCAATGCAAAAATCAGTAGAACAACGCCATAAAGAAGTGGAGTTGAAAGAGAAGCAATTAGGTAAAATCTTTCATTTATAGAGTGCCCTTTCTCCTTGACTGTGAACCTGATGGCTGATCTAATTATCTGAATTGCATGACTAACTATCGTTGGTGATTGGTTAGCTTTACATTCAGTTTAATGCATATATTTAAGTCTAAATATTTCTTTCGAATTCTTTTTCTTACCTATTTGTGTCGGTGTATGTATTTTAGTCTGTGAAAACAGAGTAGCACCTAAGTTATTTCCTTGCTGAGAGTATTTTCCGCTGCTAGTCTTGGTTGCTTATGTTTTTTTTTCTTTATTTGAGGTGCTGTGCTCTTCGGGCCTGGCGTTTCATTCTACCAGTCTTTTTATTAATGTTCATAGTCTTTGGTCTCCTATCCTTTTGCTTCCAGAATTCTTCTCAATGCTTTTAGCAAGTTAACAATTGTGTTGCTGCGACATGGATTGTTGACTTTTTCTGGTTCCAAGGCCTGGTTTAATGCTCCCTTCCCGTTGGTATTTCCTCTCTGCAGTTTGGGACAGCTTGCTAATGATATCTCAGAATTCTACTTTGGTATCGGTGGAAATTAAGTTGGGTTCGGTATTCTTAGTTCCATTTGTTGCTTCCTTCTTTCACTCAGTTGCTACAACTGGGTTTTGCTGGAATTGCTGGTTCGATATTTTTAGTTACTCTGCAGCTGATTTCTGGGTTTTTCAGTTTGGTCATTCGTCAGAGTCTTTCTTTCTGCAATTTGAGGGATCCCTTGTTTTTCTTGTTCTTGCTCTTTCATGGAGCTCCTTGGATTATGGAAGACTTGTTTTTATCCAACACTCTTATTTCATTTCCTGATTTAATTTTCCCGCTGGGTTTCCTTTCTCCTTTTGGGTTCTTTCGTCTTAACTTTGTTGCCCCATGTCTCTAATCTAGCTACCTCTATCCTTAATAAAATGATTCATGATTCACCCAAAAAAAAAAAAAAAAAAAAGAAGTTTGAATTAGCAGCCAGAGACCACATCATTAAAGTAGCATCAGCGGAATCTCAATGGCTTGTCGGGACTGGCTGTGTTCTGCTTCCTGTGCTCGTTACTGTATAATCTGACTGGGATTGCTAATTTTCTTCTCGGGACCTTTTTTTTTTTTTTTTTTTTTTTTTCCTGTAGTTGCTTTTTTGTTCTTCCTTTTGATTGATAACTACTTTCTTAGCCACAAGTAGGATGTCTTGAGAAATCCCAGGTCTGAGTGTAGGGAAATTGGTTGGTTGGGCAAGGGCCTAGGTTCTGCTTTAAGTGGCTAGGGCCTAGGAAGCAGGGGCAAAAAAAAAAAAAAAAAATCTCTTGTGACACTGTTATGCCTGATCCTGAAAATTAGTAGTTTCATAAGCCATCTATATTGATACCACAGCATCCTAAACTTTCTAGATTTTGACCTTAATTTGTATGTTCTGAAATTTTTTAACAGTTGGATTTTGTAAGCATAAGCATTCCTAGGTCTTCAACTATGGGCCCACTGCTTTGAATATTTAAGCCGTTTGGCTAGTTTTGCCAAAAAAATTGTCTAAACTCTTGTAGTTCATGACATGTACATGTATTATATGTCTGAACCTGGTATATTTCTTATTAATGGTGTATGAACCTGATCTGATTATTAATGATGGTTTCATTTGTCCCTTGCTTAGGTAGCAACATCCTTTCTTCACATGCCAGGATTGACCAAACAGAACATGTTAGGAATCCGAAACATGCTTCATCTTCAACCTTTCAATCCAATGCCGCCACCAGTGAGAGGAGTTCGCAACTGGTAAATGAGTGTGTGAACACGCACCATCTGATGCACCTTGAAGTTTCAGTTGAACCAGCAAAGTATGTTTTGGATTTTATGCTCTGGTCATTTTCCCAGAATTGGAAGAATGGAGTTGCAGGCTTGGATGCAAGTGTCAAGAGGAATCATGTTCTTCTATTGGAGCATCTAATGAAAGTCTCACCAAAAATAAGTCCTCAGGTGAAAGAAGATGCAATAAAGCTGGCGGTTATTTGGGAAAAGAATATAAGATTGGAGACCGAGGATTCTATGGAGGTTTTGATGTTTTTGCTGTTTTTGGTCATATATGGATTGGTTTCTTGTTTTAGCAGGGACCGAATTTTAAGACTTATTGGAACTATTGCTCACAAAAAATGGGCTCCTGAAATATTCAAGGCCCTCGGTTTTGCAGATAAGGATCTTGTTCCGGGTAAGTTTACTGATTGTTTGCTGATAAGGAATATAGTTATCTGCTCATATTTTGCATTTTTCTTTGGAGCAGTATTGCTTATAGTTTAAAATAGGTGTCTTACGCATGATATAATTGCATTAATCCTATACCTATCTGTATTTCTTTTGTTGCTTAGTAATGCCTCTGTGCCTTTTGTTTTGTGTCCTGAACCTTAGACCATCCTGTAGCCTTCTTTCTATTGAAAAAATCAAATAACATGACCTTGCCATTCAAAAATTTACTTTTGTAGTTTACCACGTATCTATCATATTTTTTGACATCCTCTCTATCTAGGCACCCTGAGTATTTGTTATGAAATAGCTGTTCTTGATTTTAGATTGCCATTCTGATGCCTCACTGATTGTATTTAGCTTGGAATGATGTCTGATTAAAAAATGGAAGGATATTTTTTTGAATGACTTTTACTGCCTGTAGGCTGCAAATGTAATAAAACTATTTTTATGAAGCTCATCTGAATTTATTTATTGACATAAAAGTGTTGAATGTCCTTTAGCACCAGGCAAAACAACACACCCACACAACCTCCACCCCCCACACCACACCCCCCCCCCCCCACCAAGAGGACCCTAATACATCTTGGGCTAAAGAATTGCAAGCCTTAGCAGGGAATGCTTTATTTGAAGTTCCACCAAAGACTCAGGTGGATCAGTGGTTTAAACACAGGCTAAACTACACTTCTAGTAGCCCTTCGAGTTTGATTCCCCCAGATCAAATGACACACCAGTAGATGGATATGGCAATACATTGCAACTATTTGCCTATTCTATATGAAATAAAAGATTTAATCCAGTATTTGAGAACATCTCATGCGAAGCATTGTATATTTGAATTCTGTAGAAGTTTAATGAGTATTGGATTCCTTTAAATAGTAGCATCTGCATGGTGTCAGCATCCTGTATGAATATCGCAAAAAGTTGGCTGTCATACGGAACTTCCCTTACAACAAAGCATCCATACTACTAGAAAATGCTGCGCTGACTGAAAATGTGTTGGGAAAATATTTGGCAATCCAATCAAATATTACCTATAGGTTTCAAACTTCTTCAGGGGGGTTTTCTTTTGAAATCTCCCTCTACAAACTATATTGCTTTTCATAAAATTTCTGAGATCCATTTGAAAGGGTTTCAGAACTAAAGAGCATTAATTTGCAGATCATATTAAACTAGCTGTATAGTGGTCTTTACTTGGAATGACTCCTGGATTTTTTTTATTTTTTTATTTTTTGTTTTTGCTGCTTTCTTTCATCCCTCTGATGTGAGGAGATGTGTACAAGGGAGTTGCTTAATGAACTATGATTTTGACTTTATTCATCTATTTCCATCTCAAGTGCCTCCTTAGTGCACATTTCATATTGCCACTATGATTCAGCAATGTCCTATTTCCTTTGGCCTAGAGACTGCAATCTATTTTATTTTATTTTGCCTGATCCCTTTTTTTTTCCTTCTCATTTGCAGCTTTTATTGAGAATCTTTTTGGAAACAGGCAATATATTGCTGCTGCTAGGTTTAGTTATGCATTTGGGGTGGTCGGCAAGTTTTCACCAGAACTCATCTTAAAAAAATACATGGAGGATGCTTGTGCGTGCAAGGGAGTAAATAATTCGATTGAAGCACAGGCATGTTTATTATTCCGCATCCCTTTTATTATGGTCTGCTTTTTAGTTAATGATCCTATTCTCTTTACACAACACACACACACACACACTTGCGTGCACAAAAAAACATGTACATCTGCTCTCAAGTAGCATGGAAAGTATGTTTATTGACAATGGGACATTGGTGCAGGGTAAGGCCATAGACGAAGCAATATCTGCTCTTAGATCCATATCGGAACTTGTAGCAGATTACAAATATGAATCCAGATACATGACTGAGGATATTATTTGTTCCATTTCTGCTCTGGAAAAGAGAAAGGCAGCCTGGACTCACTCTTTGCAAGCTCCTAGCCCCATGGATCAACCCCAAGTGCAAGGCGGAAACTATCAAACAGCTGCCACTTCTTGCCCAAGGAACCAGCCAGCTTCTGCTTCCATTGACCAGCCACAGCTACGGAATTCAAACTTGTGGGATCTACTGCAACAACAAGATACGCCTTCTAGGTCTGATTTTCCAGTTGATATTTCTGGAGAAAGGAATCAGCTAGCTTTTGCTCCCATTATGCAACCGAATCTACTCAAGGCAAATTTCCAGGATCAAGAACAACAGCAAAATAACAATAAGCGTCCAAGGATAGATGTGTCGGTTGATGTACCACAAGTTACTCAAGGTGTTGCGGCTTATGGAAGTGCAAATCAGCTTTTCACAGCTACTAACCAATTTGGTGCCTCAGACTTAAATGCTCAACAGTCAAATATTGCTGGAAGACAAAACCGGTACAAAACTTGGCAACAGCGCTGATAGGTCGTTCCTGTCTCGGACCTGTACATAGTTTTCCCTTTATTATCTTCCTTTTCTTTTCTGTGCTGAGCCTTTTTTTTGTTTTTTGTTCTGGGGTAATATGGTGTTGACCTTCCCCTATGTGCTGCTCAGAAGTTTTTGATCCTTCACCGTCTTTTTCAACTCCATCTTCTTAATTAGACTAGTTAGGTGTCAATGGAGATCTCAGTAGATCATATCTTTGAAGTTAGCAGATTGACTACCTTGTATAGTTATATAATATTCAGCAGATTCTATACCATGTATAGCTTTGATATTTTAATTAGTTTTTAATTACGATATACTAGGAGCATTTGCTTCCCATTTAGATTATACCAACTGTAGGATTGTAAAGAATATATACGTAACAAGAACTCTTGAAGAGCGGACACTTTTCAGGCTAAAAGACTTTTTGTTAACTCTTTAAAGTTTGTCATTGTATCAAAGCGAGAAATTTTATAATGCTTTAAAGAATAAAAAAAAATGCACAGTAATTACTTTATATATAAAAAAAATACACAGCAGTTAATTTATGGATTTACTTCATAACAAGAGATGGAAAGATATAGACGCAAAAAAAAAAAAAAAAAAAGAACTAACGTAAAAATCTTTTTATCATTTTTGGTGACATGTAATTTTATTATAACTCTATTTGTTATATCTAATTGGTTAAGTTAACTTGATTTTACTTAAAAGGCATGTGGATTTATTTATTGAGTAATTTGCTTGGCCAAAAAAGCTATTAATCACTAATCTTTGACTAAACAAGACGTTTATTATAAAATAATTACATTGTATGAACTTCCTAACAATTAGGATAAAAGAAAATAGGTCAAACTTCCTAACAATTAGAAAGAAAGTAGATAGTTATAAAAGAAAATGGGACACAATCAAAACAATAATAAAAATCAAAGTAATAATAAAACATAGAACATTGCAATGTAAGAATGTAAAACCACAACAAAACATTGAATATTGTAACAATAATCAATTCAATATTATTAACAAAACAACAAGAAGTTCTTAGAGTATTATCCGAGGTTCGGTATTTTTTAAACTTATTAGATAATAGATTGAATGCATTAATTAAATTATGATGATAAATTTATAAGTTGATAGATTTGTTTTGTGATTATATATTGCCCTCGCAATTCATGTATAATTATGAAGAATTGAATATCTTCACAACATCATATCCGAAAGAAGAGTCATGATTTGTAATTATCATTTCTCACTAATCGACATGAATTCTCTTTTAAACCGATTATTATTAAGTTTGCAAACTTGTTTCTTAATTTACAAGTGAATTTTCATAGAAACTTGAATATGGAAATTGGGCTTCCTTGTTTTGTTTTCTACCCGGTTCGTCTTAAGTAGTGATGATTTATGCCCTTACGGAACACATTCCCGCTGCGAGTCTTGATTAAGACTTAGGACACAATTTTTTCTACTTTTGATAATCCAACGTTTGAAGTTACAACCATCGAAATAGTCGAAATAGGCTTGAAGTGGAAAACCTAATCACTCATCCGGACTTGTTGTTATTGCCGTCTTTTAAGGCCTTGAGTCATTTATCCGCGCCAAATCATAGCTCTAAATTCAAGGGCAAATTTATTTGCTTGTAAAACATACCGGAAAAAAAAAACCCTCAAATTTTTTGTCTTAGTCTTACGAGTTGTAGTGACTCAATACCCTAACGACTAAATTATAAGTTAGTCCCTCTTATTTCAAGAAATGAATTAATTAATCTCCTTTTTAAAAAAAATTAATCATTTAATCCTATCTTTTGAAATATATTTATAATTTAGTTCTTTTTTTCATTTTTCATTTATTTTGATTTTTTGTTTTATGAAATAGAAAAGAAAAAATATGAAAAAATATAGAAAGCTTGATGAGAAAAAAAGGATTTTATAAAATAAAAATAATTTTAAATTAAACATGGTCAACACTGAATAAAAAATAAATAATAGCTATTAAAACAAGTAGGATTAATTAATCTATTTTTTGAAACTAAAGGGACTAATTTATAATTTACTCACACCCTAATGCATGTTAAATGGGCCATTCTGGGCTCATTTATTAGTAGCATTGTCTAAATATCATACCATAATCCTTAAGTCACTGTCTGTCGCTTTATCAATTCCCCGTAACTTTATTTCTGCAGGTTTCCTACTTCGCTGATAACTCCTGGTAACCAACACCAAAGAGGAAAACTTTCCTTCTTATAAATACCCAAAAGGATAGATAAAACGACTAGGGTTTTTTTTTTATCTTTCAACAATGGAGGAGAAAGTTTCTACCGAGTTAAAACAGTGTGAGTTAAAGCAAGAAATAGCACGCAGAACTATGAACGACCTTCAAGAAAAAGCTTCTTCTGTTCTGTTACTTTGTTTACAATGGAAGGAAGTAGAGAATCACTTCGATTCTATCAGGGGCTTGATCGAGGTGGAGAGGGAAGAGGTTGAGAGGAAGGAGAGAGTGGTTAATGAGAGAGAGAAGGAAGTCGGGGTGAAAGAGAAGAGAGTGGAGGAGTTGGTTAAAGAAGTTAAGTTGAAAGATGAGGACTTTAAGGAATCGAGAAGAGAGCTTGAGTTGAAAGAAATGGAATTTGGAGTGAAGGTTAGAGAAAGGTATGACGAAGTTGAGTTGAAGGAAAAGAAAGTTGAGGGAGAGTTTAGAGAAGTTGCATTGAGGGAAAAGAGGGCGGAGAAGAGATTTATAGAGGCTGAAGTGAAGGAGAGGAGGGCTGGGGAGTTGTTTAAGGAAGTTAGGGTGAAAGATGAGGAATTTAGGGAATGGAGAAAAGGGCTTGATTTGAAAGAGAAGGAAATTGAGTTGAAAGGTAGGGAGGTTGAGGAGAGGTTTAAAGAGATTGAATTGATGAAGAAGAATGTTGGCGACGGGAGAGAGGAAATTGAATTGAATAGAAGGAAATTAGAGGAAGGATTTAGAGAACTTGAATTGAAAAGTAGGGAGTTTGAGGAGAGGATTAAAGGGGTTGAGTTGAAGGAGAAGGAATTAGAGGAACAGGGTAGGGAAGTTGTTTTGGATGGGAAACAAATCGAAGAGGTTGAGTTGAAGGAGAAGGAACTAGAAGAGAGGTTGAGGCATTTTGAATTGGAAAATAAGAAGTGCACAGAGAGAAATTAAGGACTTTGAATCGAAAGAGAAACAACTTGTGGCAGCTTGTAACGCTCGTGTGAAGAGAGTGGAGGAGTTGGTTAAAGAAGTTAAGTTGAAAGATGAGGACTTCAAGGAATGGAGAAGAGCGCTTGAGTTGAAAGAAATGGAATTTGGAGTGAAAGTTAGAGAAAGGTATGACGAAGTTGAGTTGAAGGAAAAGAAAGTTGAGGGAGAGTCTAGAGAAGTTGCATTGAGAGAAAAGAGTGTGGAGAAGAGATTTATAGAGGTTGAAGTGAAGGAGAGGAGGGTTGGGGAGCTGTTTAAGGAAGTTGGGGTGAAAGATGAGGCGTTTAGGGAATGGAGAAAAGAGCTTGAGTTGAAGCAGAAGGAAATTGAGTTGAAAGGTAGGGAGGTTGAGGAGAGGATTAAAGAGATTGAATTGATGGAGAAGGATGTTGGTGATGGGCGTGAGGAAATTGAATTGAATAGAAGAAAATTAGAGGCAGGATTTAGAGAACTTGAGTTGAAAAGTAGGGAGGTTGAGGTGAGGTTTAAAGAGATTGAATTGATGGAGAAGAATGTTGCTGACCGGAGCGAGGAAATTGAATTGAATAGAAGGAAATTAGAGGAAGGATTTAGAGAACTTGAATTGAGAAGTAGGGAGGTTGAGGAGAGGATTAAAGGGGTTGAGTTGAAGGAGAAGGAATTTGAGGAACAACGTAGGGAAGTTGTTTTGAAAGGGAAACAAATCGAAGAGGTTGAGTTGAAGGAGAAGAAACTAGAAGAGAGGTTGAGGCATGTTGAATTGGAAAATAAGAAGTGCACAGAGAGAATTAAGGAGTTCGAATCGAAAGAGAAACAACTTGTTGAAGCTTCTGAAGCTCGTGTGAAGTTGGAGCCAGTAGATCATTCTATGGATGCTAATCTACGTTTTTCAGTGAAAATGGATGGGAAGGCGTTGCAGATTTTCTTAAATGAGCGTTGTACACATATTGACAAGATGAAAAATGAAGTGTTTGTTGCTCTTGGACTTTCGTCGGATCCTGCAAAGCTTGTTTTGGATGCAATGGAAGGGTTTTACCCCCTCATCTGAGGAAGGATGATGTGGAGTTCAAAGAGGCTGTTGTTAGAAGAAGTTGCAATCTTTTGCTTGAGCAATTAATGAAAATATCCCCACCAATTAAACCCCATGTGAGAAAAGAAGCAATGAGACTTGCCTTTAATTGGATGACAAAAATGAGAGTGGATGATCAGCAATATTTGGAGGTTTTGGGATTCTTTAATCTCTTGGCTGCTTATGGATTGGGCTCTGCTTTTGATTCTGATGAGCTGATAAGCCGTTTTGTGACTATTGCTCGAAATAGGATGACTCTTGAATTTTTGCGTTTCCTTGGTTTAGCAGATAAAATTCCTGGTAAGTTTCTAATGCTTGAGGTCGGTATGATTTTTTGCTTCCTTTTGTGTCTATAATCTGGTATTCCTATTTAGATAGCCCTAAATTATCAATGAAGTTGAACTAGTGACTATATTTGGAAATGACAGAAAGCTTGCTCGTATTTAAATTTATAGTTTAGTCCACATCGTGATATTTTGTTGTGAAAATACAAGATTGTGAAAATTTATGGGAATGCTCAAAAGTTGAGGCATATTTTAAAGCTTTCTCTGGTGGATAGTGAATAAACCCTGTATTGCATAGGGATGCCTTGTATTCCTTGTGTTTGGAGCAGAAATGCATGAAACTGCAATTAAGGGCTTTTAGTATCATGCTTATGGTCATTTTTTGGGTTGTCGTCAGGAGTGGTAAAGGTTGAGGATTTATCTTTTACTACTGCTAGCATCTACTATCAATTCTTTAGCGTTGTAAATAGCCACTCTGAAGTTAGCCTTGGGGAAATCCACTTAAATCCCTGCTTGAAGCATACTAGTTTTTACCTTCAACTTAGCTCTTGACTTATTTAACGCCTGATGGAAATTAATTGATTCAGTTATCTTTCAATTATCTTTTCGTTTGAACTTTCTACAGGACTGTGTTATAATTTGCAATCATTGTTTGCATGCATGTAACAGGTTTTATTCAAAATCTCATCTTAAAGAAACAGCCTACTGAGGCTTTGAGATTCATTTATGCGTTTGAGATGGTGAATCAGTTCCCCCTGGACCTCTCTTGAGGGATTACTTAAATGGTTCTAAGATTGAAGCCAGAAGAATTAGGAGGAGTAGCGAATCAGTTGAAGCACAGGTATGCTTTGCTTTCCCCTTTAATATTTCAATCTCCTCTTGTTCATGATCCAGTTATTATATGCACACGGCTTAAAACAACTTGCTAACAGATTGAGGCTACAAACAAAAGATTAGCTGTTCTAATGGTTGTACTGAAATGCGTTGAAGATTACAAGCTTGAATCTGAATTCTCACCTGATAGGCTCAGGCAACAAATAAAAGATGTTGAAAGACAGCATTTGAATAGGAACACAAAGTTATCGAACCTGGGCTGCAATTCTCAGCCACCTAATCTGAGTGAGAAGAAATGTTTGGCCCCAAGAGTTGCATCTTCATCCCCTGTCCTTGCATCCAATTCTGTCTCTGCTACTAAACCTGCCCTCAAGTCCATGGCTGCTGCCGCAGCTGTTCTTGTCACAGTCACCTCCCCTTCTCCAACGGCTGCCTCCATTGCTTCCCCATTTGGTGTCACCTCTCGTGCCCCAATGGCTCCCTCTGTTAATCCAGTTGCCCCCATCGCAGTCGCTTCTACCTCCACAACCGCTGCCTCCACTGCTACCTCAACAGTATTCACCTCTCCCTCTTCAACTACTGCATCCATAACTGCCTTCACTTCTCGAAGCACAGTTGCCTGCCCCTCCTCAACCAGTGCATCACCTCCTGCCTTAATTCCCAAGACTGAACCACAATGCCAGGGTGGAAATAAGCGCTCTCTACTACAATATAAGGACTGTGATAAGTGCCCTCAAGAACAACACCAGGGCAGAAATAAGCGCCATCGGAGTGCACACTCGGTGCCACTCCCTCATCAAGTATAAGGTTCTTTTATGAATCAAGGTGCATCATATCTGAACACATCAGCTGGATATCATAAATTTGCTGGCTACCCGCCACTGAAGCCACAGATGAGCTCCTATTATAATAACAGGTATCCTTATTATCATCGGAACACATTTGGAAAACCTGGCTTTGATGGTGCTGCACCCTTTCAGCGCTTAATGGCTTTTGCCTTCTGGTTGCCATGATGGACAATCATTGACGTTGCACAGAACTCTTGATGATATGGGGAAGGTTTAAGTGGGAGAAAAATTTCTTAAATTCATCATAATAGTCAACAAACAGCTGAGAAACATTCGAAACTTGAAAGGAATTTAGCAGTTTGCAGCGAAGAGTCGTACATATATTTGGTTGAAGAGTGGGATGAAAAGAGCTCGAACAAAAAGATAAAAGAGGTTGGAAATATGGGTCCCAACACTTTGAAGTCAATGAGAAGCCTAATTTACCCCTTGTTTGGATATTTTCTCTTTAGAGGAAAGAAATGTGAGGAAAGAAAATAATTTTTCACTTGTTGTTTGGATAAGAGTAGAAATGAAAAGAAAGAAAATATATTTTTCTTATTTGGAAAATTGTAAAAAGAGGAAGAAAAAAATATTATTGTATATTTACTATTATACCCATATTGATATTATTTCTAGATCAAACACAACTCATTAATTGAATGACAAAGAACAAAATCAAACAACACATTACCTCGCTCCTGCTTACACTAAAAACTTTGGATGAACTGTGAATGGGTGTAAGCTTCACTCGCTCGAAAACACTCAAGGAGACGTTTTTCTCAAATGAACTAGGGAGGAAAGAAAATTTGTTATACGAATGGATGAACTAATGCAAGGTTTAATAACTTGATTTGCATATCTGTTTTGTAGATCCGTTAGTGGAGATTAGAAAATGAGAGGGACGATCGAGGCAAGGGTAAAAATGTGTGAAACAAAAAAAAAAAAAACATGTCTCATGGTTTTCTTTTCGTTTCCTTCCAATTTTGAGAGAAAAATAGGTCTCATCATTTATAGATTGTTTATCATTTTTTCTTTCTTTCCACTACTTTTCTCCCTCAAAACAAACGAGGAAAAGTTTTCTTTTCTTCCTATTTTCTTTACTTTCATTCACTTTCCTCTCTATCCAAACATAGGGTTAGTGACAATTCATTTTGGCACTAGTTCTAAGAAATTAATGCCTCTTAGATATTGAAGAGAATGTCCCACGCGATAGTGTTTGTTCCTCGTAGGTATGACTAATACCGACCTCCTAAGTGGTGGAGTGCTATGTTTAACGGGAAAATAGGCGCTTTGCTGATCTACGGGCTTGTCATATATAATTACGTTGTTTTTTGGTTTTTATATTTTTTTTATTGATTCTTAACAGATTTATAGTCGGACTTTTTGATTCATTGCGTTTTCAACTTTTTGTGATGTATTAAATATTATTAAAAAATAATCTAAAATCATTCATATAATCTTTTCTAACAAGTTAAACTTTTGGATGGAAGTAGTTTTTCGACCTAATATTAAAGTCTTGGTGTCTGAATAATCTAGGTTTATGGATGTTTAATTACAAAGAACTTTGATTTAAAAAGATGTATTAGAGAGTATATATAAAATTATTTCTAGAATACTATCCAAACGATCTCGGTTTTTGCAAGTTCGATTAAAAAAAATTCACTTAAAAAAATATATTAGAGAATAATATAACAAATGCATTACATATTTTCGGTCCATGTTTTAGTGAAAACTAAGAGAGCAAAAGAAGTGGAAGAAGGTAAGGTAATCACATCGGCTACCAACACTTGTATATTCAAAATCAATGAGTTGATGCTCTATTGAAATTGGGCCTTAGCCCCATGATAAGAAAAGAGATTGGGCCTTATTTTAACACTCTTACTCCAATTTGGGCCCCTTTTATGGTATCCAAAACAAATTCTCTCTCTCTCTCTCTTCACCCAATAAATATTGTTTTGGCTGGTTGTAAAAAAATTATGATTCACTCGTATTTATTGTATCTCGCGAGAAGTTTTATAGTATTTCACTAGTAATTATCAATACTTATTCTTTAAAAAAAAAGATAAAAAAAGAAAAAGAAAAATAAGAGAGAAAGAATTATAAAAATATCGTTAAATTTAAATAAAAATATTGTTATCATTTTTAGAAAGTTTGAAAGTGTTTATTTTATTTTATTTTATCTATTTTATCGAAATAAATTTATAAAGCAAGTATTGATAATTATTTAAGAATTACTCTAAAATTTTTCGTATCCCACAAAAGAAGAAATATAGATTTGATAGCATTAATGAATGAAATGATAGAATTTTAATTGTAGTTAAAGAAAAACACCAAGTATTGTTAGCTTATTTGATATCTAAAATAATATTACGAAAGTGGAACTAGTGTTTTTCTTTTTAAGAAAGAAAATTCACATTATATGAAAAAAAGAAAAGGAAAACAGATTACTTAGCCACCGTATTAGTTTGTAAAATTAGTTTTCTTTTTAAGAAAGAAAAATTGGATAATTAAAAAAGGAAAAAGAAAAGTAAAATAAAAACAAACCTTTTGTATTAAATTTTTATAAAAACTAACTTGTTAATTTATAAATGATAAAATATGGGTTTCATGAATTTAAATGCTTAGTCATATATATATATATATATATATATATAATTGCTACATATATTTATGAGAATTTTGTGTAACATTATTAAAAAATATTAATTAGAAATGAAAGAGAGAGACTTTTTATCAAAAGGTTACCTAGAATATAAAAATATTAAAATAAATTTTCATTTTTCTCCTCAAATCTTCTCTTCATGAATCGCTAATTTTCATTTTGTTAATCTCTTTTCATTTTCTCTCTTCTCAAGTACCAAAACGCGCACACCCCCATACACACCCCCATACACACACACACAAACACAAGGCGAAAGACTAAATGTTTAGTTTTTAAAACGAGGAGATTAACAAATTCATTTCACAAAACTAGAGGGACTAATTTATAATTTTCTCTGCCAAAACAGAAGAATTTCTGTTTATTTATCAGCCAACTTTCTTAATCATTCCAATTCACGACCTGTCGTTTTGTACTTACCTTGTAGTTCCAGATACCCAATCGCTTTCAAAAAAAAAAAAAAAAAACCCAAATTTTCTCTCCGCTGCAGTGTTGGGGTTTCCCCTTCACGTCTCTATATAGTTACTTCTTCAAATCTTCAACGGAAGAGAAGATCTGTAGCTAGTTGAAACTCACTGAGTTAAGGCAACAAAGCTTCCACCAAACTTTCAATCAAATTCACGACCAAGCCTCTTCCATTCTCTTACTCACTCTTCGGTGGAAAGAAATCGAAACTCACTTAGATTCCGCTTTCATTTCCATCAAAAACTGCGCCAAATAGCTTCACTGCAAGGAAGGTCAACTGGAAGAGAGAGAGAGAAGGAAACTGAAGCGAAGGAGAAAGAATTTGAGGAACGGTGTCGAGAATTTATAGAGGTAAGAGATGCGGAGGTTGAGGAGCATTTTAAAGAGATTGAGTTTACGAAGAAAGGGTTGGAGGAAAGGTGCAGAGAATTTGAGTTGAAGGAGAAGGAATTTGAGGAGCGGTGTGAAGAGATGTAGTTGGAGGGGAAGCGGTTGGAGGAACGGTGTGAAGAGATTGATTTGGAGGGGAAGCAGTTGGAAGAAAGGCGAAAGGGAGTTGAAGATAGGGAAGGATTGGCGAAAGAGAAGTTTGTGGGTCTTAATTTTAGGTAGAAGCGAATTGTTGAGAGGTGTAGGGAAATCGAATTGGAAATAGGAAGTTTGTTGAAGAGATTGAAGTGAAGGGGAAGCGAATTGAGGAGAGGCGAAACGAAGTTGAAGAGAGGCAGGAATTAGTGAAAAAGAAGTTCGTGGAAATTAAGTTGAAGGAGAAGCAAGTTGATGAGAGGTGTAGAGAAGTGGAATTGGAAAGTAGGAAGTTTGTTGAAGAGGTTGGATTGAAGGAGAAACAGCTCGACAAAAGGCGAAAGGAAATTGAAGTAGAAAGCAAGAGGATTTTTGAAGAGCTTGAATTGAAGGAGAAAGAATTTGAAGAACGCTGTAAAAAGGTTGAATTGGAAAATAAGAAGTTTGTTGAACAGTTTGAATTCAAGGAGAAGCGACTCAGTGAAGGGCGCAGGGAAGTTGCATGGGCGAAGATGAAGTTTGGTGAACAGCTTAAACAGCGTGAATTGGAGGAGAGACGACTTGAGGATAGGGCTCTGGAAATTGAATTGGAGAAGAAGAGAAACAAGGAGTTTCTTGAAGAGCTTGAATTGAAGCAGAAGCAAGCTGAACAGCAGCGTAAAGAAGTTGATTTGGAGATCATGAAGAACAAGAAGTTTATTGAGGAGGAGTTTGAATTAGAGAGAAAGAAGTTCATTGAAAAGCTTGAGTTGAAGGAGAAAGAATTTGACGAAAAGAGGGAGGAAGTTGAATTAGAGAGAAAGAAGTTTATTGAGGAATTTGAATTGAAGGAGAAACAATTTGAGAAAAGGCGGGAGGAAGTTGCGTTAGAGAGAAGGAAGTTTATTGAGGAGTTTGAATTGAAGGAGAAACAATTTGATGAAAGGCGGGAGGAAGTTGAATTAGAGAAAAAGAAGTTCATTGAAAAGCTTGAATTGAAGGAGAAACAATTTGACGAAAAACGGGAGGAATTTGAATTAGAGAGAAGGAAGTTCATTGAACAGCTTGAATTTAAGGAGAAACAATTTGACGAAAGGCGGGAGGAAGTTGAATTAGAGAGAAAGAAGTTGATTGAAAAGCTTGAATTGAAGGAGAAACAATTTGGCGAAAGGCAGGAGGAAGTTGAATTAGAGAGAAAGAAGTTGATTGAAAAGCTTGAATTGAAGGAGAAGCAACTTGAGGAGCAGCATAAAGAAGTTGAATTGAAAAACGAGAAAAACAAGAAGTTTTTTGAAGAGCTTGATTTGAAGGAGAAGCAAGTTGAAGAAAGGTGTCTGGTAGTTGAATTGAGGAATAAAAAGTTCGCTGAAGAGCTTGAATTGAAAGAAAAGCAACTTGAAGAGCATTATCAGGTAATGGAATTGGAAAAGAAGAAGTTTGAGGAACTTTCCAAGAAGATTGAATTGAAGGAGAAGCACCTTGAAAAGCAGTTAAAAGAAGTTGAATTGGGAACCAAGAAGGTTTTGGAACGACCTAAAGAGCTTGAGTTGAAAGAGAAGCAACTTCTGGAGCAGTCTAAAAAACTTGAAACAGAAGTTAAGAAGTTCATGGATCAATCTAGAGAACTTGTATTGAAGGAGAGACAACTTGAAGAACGGTGCAGGGAATTAGACGGGAAAGAGATACGGCTTGTTGATGGTGGTAATACTCATGTGAAGATTAAGGCACCTAATAATTTTGTGGTTAAGAATGCTACTGATGCTAATCTCCGTCCTTCGGTGACTATGGATGGAAAGGCTTTACAAATATTCTTAAATAAGAGTCGTAAATATGATGAGAAGACAAAAAATGAAGTGCTTACTGCTCTTGGACTATCATCGGATCCTGCAAACCTTGTTTTGGATGCAATGGAAGGGTTTTATCCACCACGTATGGCTTTCAAAGGGAGTGTGGTAAAAAAGAGTTGCAATTTTTTGCTGGAGCAATTAATGGCACTGTCACCACCAATCAAGTCGCATGTAAGAGAAGCAGCAAAAGAGCTTGCCTTTGATTGGAGGACCAAAATGAGAAGGGGTGGTAAAAATTATATTGAGTTTTTTGGATTTTTCAGGCTCTTGGCTTCTTATAGTTTGACCTCTGCCTTCAATGCTAATGATCTATTAAATGATTTGGCGACTGTTGCTCAATATGGTGAGACCCCTGAATTCTTAAGGGTCCTTGGTTTAGAAGATAAGGCCTCCTGTAAGTTTCTAATTCTGAAGCTTGGTATGATTTTCCCTTTTATCTGTCTACTTATCTGGCACGTTTCTTTTTAGGTACTACTGTGCTAGTTTATGAAGTTGCACAGCTAACATGTGGTTGGAATTGGTAGAGGATAATCAAACAAATTATCTCTCAAATCAAATTTCATAAGATGCAAATTTTAGAAGTGACATGCTAAAAATCCTGTGGTAAAGTTGGTGTTATTGGAAGAAAGGAAATGGATCATGCTATCTATTCAACCAGTGTTGTATCTCATGTGGGCGTGTATTAAATTGTAATCTTTAGAATTTGTTGTGAAAATACGAAATAGTGAAAATACATGGGACATGTAAAAGATGGGCATATTGTGGAGTTGTGTTTGGGTGTTCGGTTTGTTTTGGAGAATAATGATCTTTTGTTCTTCTTTTCTCTTGTCTAAAATATATATCGGCATTCATATAAATCTAACTGCTAGGGTTTTGTTTCCTATGTTAATGATGTCATTACCCTGATACTGAAAGCCGTAGCTGGAGTTTCACTTATTATTTCTCCTCCTTCCTATCACGAGAAAAAAAAAAAATGGAACTATAGCCTTGATTAAAGCCTATTTGTTCCATTATCTTTTTAAATCTCCAGGAGTTGTAATGCTATATGATCAATCTTTTGGTAATACCAGCTATCTTTATCTTTATTTTTAGCATGATAACTAGGCATTCCATAGAGAGCCTTGAGATCCACTTAAAAATTTGACTTGAAAGCATCCATTTTTTGTTTTCAAAATGCCCTTGTCATGAGAATTTATTGATCTCTGAAATGCCTGGTGAAAAATTTATGGTTCAGCATTTTTTGCACTATTATTTTTTCTTTTGGGCTTTCTCGTGGGGTGACTTGCAACTTATGTTGTATATGTAACAGGTTTTGTTCAAATTCTGATCAACAAGAAACAATATCTTGATGCTGTTAGGTTCATTTGTGCATTTGAGCTGGTTAAGGAGTTCCGGCCTCGACCTCTGTTGACACTTTACTTGTGTGATTCCAAGATTGCTGCAAAAACAATTAGAAAGAGCAACGAATCAGTTGAAGCACGGGTATGATTTTACGTTTTCTGTTAATTTATCAACCTTCACTTTAGTTTTAAGACCAGCTGTTAACATGTGCAAATTTGAAACAACTCTCTAACAGGTTATGGCAAATGAAAAAAGAGTTGCTGATTTGAGGGCTGTAATTAAATGCATTGAAGATCACAAGCTTGAATCTGAACTCCCCCTAAGTGCCTCAAGCAACAAATACTAGATGTGGAAAGAGAAAATTCGAATATGAGAACAATATTGCCAGCTGTAGGCTGCAGTTCTCAGATCTCAATTTTGAATGAGAAGAAATTTTCAGTGCCCAAATCTACCTCCACCACAAGCACTACCCCTACCGCTCCAACTGCTCCCATCAATGTCACCACCTCATCACCAACCACTGCGTGCATTGCTTCCCCAGCTGCCGCCATCAGAGTCACCTCCCCCATCCCAACCCCTGCCTCTACTGTTGGCTCAATCGTAAACGCCTCTCCCAACCCTACTCCACCCATTACTGGCCCCACTCTACCTATTACTGCCCCCACTTCTTCCACGAGTGTTATCTCCCCCTCGCCAACCACTCCACTGCCTTCTGCTACAATCTTTGAGAGTCTATCACAACAACATTGTGGAGATAAGCACCCTCAACCACAACACCAGGCTGCAGATAAGCGCCATCGTCCACAACTCCAGGATGGAAACAAGCACCCGCAGCCACAACACCAGTATGGAAAGAAGCACCCTCATCAACAACAGCAGGGTGGAAATAAGCGCCCTCAAATAGCTTTATCATCAGAGGTACCTCTACGAGCATCATCGTTTGCATTTGCAAATACTAACATTGTAGACTCGCTGCAAACCCCTCATCAGCAACCAAATCACTATTTTACGAATCAAGGTGCATCATATTCGAACTCATCAGCTGGACATTATAGCTTTACTGGGTACCAGCCTATAAACCCACAGATGGACATTATAGGATTTAGAGAACTTGAATTGAGAATTAGGGATGTTGAGGAGAGGATAAAAGGGGTTGAGTTGAAGGAGAAGGAATTTGAGGAACAGCGTAGGGAAGTTGTTTTGAAAGGGAAACAAATCGAAGAGGTTGAGTTGAAGGAGAAGAAACTAGAGGAGAGGTTGAGGCGTGTTGAATTGGAAAATAAGACGTGCACAGAGAGAATTAAGGAGTTTGAATCGAAAGAGAAACAAGTTGTTGAAGCTTGTGAAGCTCATGTGAAGTTGGAGCCCGTAGATTATTCTATGGATGCTAATCTACATTTTTCAGTGAAAATGGATGGGAAGGCGTTGCAGATTTTCTTAAATGAGCATTGTAAACATAATGACAAGATGAAGAATGAAGTGTTTATTGCTCTTGGACTTTCTTCGGATCCTGCAAAGCTTGTTTTGGATGCTATGGAAGGGTTTTACCCACCTCGTTTGAGGAAGGATGATGTAGAGTTCAAAGAGGTTGTTGTTAAAACAAGTTGCAATCTTTTGCTTGAGCAATTAATGAAAATATCCCCACCAATTAAACCCCATGTGAGAAAAGAAGCAATGAGACTTGCCTTTAATTGGATGACAAAAATGAGAGTGGATGATCAGCAATATTTGGAGGTTTTGGGATTCTTTAATCTCTTGGCTGCTTATGGATTGGGCTCTGCTTTTGATTCTGATGAGTTGATAAGCCGTTTGGTGATTATTGCTCGAAATAGGCAGACTCCTGAATTTTTGTGCCTCCTTGGTTTAGCAGATAAAATTCCTGGTAAGCTTTTAATGCTTGAGCTCGGTATGATTTTTTTGCTTTCTTTTGTGTCTGTAATCTGGTATTCCTATTTAGATAGTCATAAATTATTAATGAAGTCGAACTAGTGACTATATATTTGGAAATGACAGAAAACTTGCACGTATTTAAATTTATAGTTTAGTTCACATCCTAATATTTTGTTATGAAAATACAAGATTGTGATAATTTATGGGAATGCTCAAAAGATGGGGCATATTTTAAAGCTTTCTTTAGTGGGCAGTGAATAAACCCCGTATTGCTTAGGGATGCCTTGTATTCCTTGTGTTTGGAGCAGAAAAGCATGAAACTGCAATTAAGGGCCTATTTAAGTGTCATGCTTATAGTCATTTTTTTACGTTGTCATCAAGGGTGGTAAAGGTTGAGGATTAATCTTTTAATGCTGCTAGCATCTCCTATCAATTCTTTAGCATTATAAATAGCCACTTCGAAGCTAGCCTTGGGGAAATCCACTTAAACCCCTGGTTGAAGCGTACCAGTTTTTACCTTCAACTTAGCCCTCGACTTCTTTAATGCCCTGTGGAAATTAATTGATTCAGTTCTCTTTCAATTATTTTTTTCGTTTGAATTTTCTACAGCACTGTGATATAACTTGCAACCATTGTTTGCATGCCTGTAACAGGTTTTATTGGAAATCTCATCTTAAAGAAACAGCCTATTGAGGCTTTGAGATTTATTTATGCATTTGAGATGGTGAATCAGTTCCCCCTGGACCTCTCTTGAGGGATTACTTAAATGGTTCTAAGATTGAAGCCAGAAGAATTAGGAGGAGGAGCAAATCAGTTGAAGCACAGGTATGTTTTGCTTTCCCCTTTACTATTTCAATCTCTTCTTGTTCATGATCCAGTTGTTATTTATGCACACACTTAAAATAACTTGCTAACAGATTGAGGCTACAAACAAAAGAGTAGCTGATCTAATGGTTGTATTGAAATGCGTTGAAGATTACAAGCTTGAATCTGAATTCTCACCTAATATGCTCAAGCAACAAATAAAAGATGTTGAAAGACAGCATTTGAATAGGAACACAAATTTATCAAACCTGGGCTGCAAGTCTCAGCCACCTAATCTGAGTGAGAAGAAACGTTTGGCCCCAAAAGTTGCATCTTCATCCGCTGTCCTTGCATCCAAGTCTTTCTCTGCTACTAAACCTGCCCTCAAGTCCATGGCTGCTGCCTCAGTTGCTACCTCAGCTGCTCCTGTCACAATCACCTCCCCCTCTCCAACAGCTGCGTCCATTGCTTCCCCAGTCGGTGTCACCTCTTGTGCCCCAATGGCACCCTCTGTTAATCCAGTTGCCCCCATCGCAGTCACTTCTACCTCCACAACTGCTGCCTCCACTGCTACCTCAACAGTAGTCACCTCGCCCTCCTCAACTACTGCATCCATAACTGCCTTCACTTCTCAAAGCACAGTTGCTGGCCCCTCCTCAACCAGTGCATCACCTCCTGCCTTAATTCCCAAGACTGAACCACAATGCCAGGGTGGAAAGAAGCGCTCTCTACTACAATATAAGGACTTTGATAAGTGCCCTCAAGAACAACACCAGGGCAGAAATAAGCGTCCTCGGTGTGCACAGTCTGTGCCACTCCCTCATAAAGTATAAGGTTCTTTTATGAATCAAGGTGCATCATATCTGAACACATCAGCTGGATATCATAAATTTGCCGGCTACCTGCCACTGAACCCGCAGATGAGCTTCTATTATGATAATGGGTATCTTTATTATCATCGGAACACATTTGGAAAACCTGGCTATGATGGTGCTGCACCCTTTCAGCGCTTATTGGCTTTTGCCTTGTGGTTGCCATGATGGAGAATCATTAACGTTGCACAGAACTCTTGATGATATGGGGAAGGTTTAAGTGGGAGAGAAATTTCCTAAAGTCATCGTAATAGTCAACAAACAGCTGAGAAACAGTCGAAACTTGAAAGGAATTTAGCAATTTGCAGCAAAGAGTCATACATATATTTGGTTGCAGAGTGGGATGAAAAGAGCTCGAACAAAAATATAAAAGAGGTTGGAAATATGGGTCCCAACACTTTGAAGTCAAAGAGAAGCCTAACGTATTGACGATTCCTTTTGGCACTCTCCAGTTAACATTATTCTAGGACTTTGATGCCTCTGCTCAAAGACTCCAGCATGTCAAGAAGATTAAACTATTTGCAAGTGCAGTTCCACATGATGTTAATAGTTGTGTTTTTCCTTTGATGTTACTCTTAATCAGCTGTAAAGCTAGGTGTATATGATCAATTATGCTATGATTACCACCAAGATTTAGGATGACAAATTGAAGAGCCACTGTCTTTTCTTGTTAATGTTTGGTTTTCAATTTTCTATGTTTTTTCTCCTTTGGTTCTCAAGGATATCTGGAATCTGTTTTGCATCAGATTAGCATCTCTATTTGCAAGGAGTTTCAACTGGCAAAGAAGAAGTTGATTGAAGAGGTTGAACTGAAGGAGAGAGAATTCAAACAATGGTGTAAAGAACTTTAACCGGAAAAAGTAAGTTTTTTGATCTTAAATTCTAAGAGAGGCCACTTGAGGAGGAAAGACAATACAAATTAAGTTGATTTGCAAAATGAGAAGTTTGTTCAAGAGATTGAATTAAAGGAGAAAAAAGTAGAACAAAGGCTTAAAGAAGTTGGATTACAAAATAAGCAAACCAAGAAACAGAAGTTTAAATTTATTTAATATATTTAATAAATGCTACTTCCTTCTGGCTGCTTTGGATGGACCATGAGTCGGTCAAACAAGGCTTCATGGAACCCATGGCAACACAAAGGCAGTTTAAATTTATTGAAGCAGGAGAAGAAGTTTCTTCAGCAGCACCATTATCAGTCAACCCGAAGTTGAAATTCCAAATTAGATTACAGTAGCAATTTGCAGTAAACACTGAATTGTTCGAGAGTGGGGATGAAAAGAGCTTGGTGACGTGCCCAAATCGCTATTTGGTTTATTTGTAGAATATCCCTAGTGATTTAAGGCTGTTCCGGTTAGGTTTGAAGTGAAAAAATAAAATGGAAAAAGGAAGAAGCTCTTTGAAGTGAATTGATATGTGATAAGATTCGAGTTTGTTTAAGAACTCGAGTAATTGAAGAATAAATCTCTCAAAATTTGTATTAATAATCATCTCAAAAATAAAAAAAAACAAACCTTTCTTGTATAGATTAAATACACTCTTAAAATATTGAAAAAAAAAGGGGTTGTATCGAGAAATTTTATAATACATCATGAGTAACTAGTGATATGTACAATAGTTACTCTCATGAGCCCACTTTGATGAGAGAGATAGACAAACAAAAAAATAGTGAAATTACATCCATACTCACTAAAAGTTGATAAGAAGATTTCATCGATCTACTCAAATTTTTTTATTTTCTCTCTCCTGTTTTTTTTTTTTTTGTCTATCTCTTTCTTTAAAGTGAACCCATGAAGTAACTACTATACATGCCACTAGTTACTCACGGTGTATTATAAAATTACTTGAGTTGTACCTAAGATACAAGAGGAAAACAAATTGTCTTCATTCATAATTCTACTCTAAACAGATAAAACAACCCAAATTCACACTTGCAATTGATTGGAAATAATGAAGTAAGTATTATAAAATAAGAAAACACAACTTAAATAGATCTGGAAAAAAATAACCTATTCATCAAATAAACATAGGGTCAAATTCTTCTAAGGCTTAAATCAAGCCCAAACAAAAAGGTTGGCTTGTCATATATAATTATGTTGCTTTTTTGTTTTCATATTTCCATTAATGATTCTTAATGGATTTCTTGCATGTTATTTTTATTCAAAGTGTTTTCGACTTTTCGTGATGCATTACATATCGTTAGAGAGCAATATCAAACAATTCATGAAGTTTTTTTTTCACACGTGACATTGGATTCTTGCTTCTCAAACAATTCAGGCATCCACATTAGTTTGTTTGACCTCCAAAATAATATACGATGGTGGAATTATTTTAAGGAAAAAAAGAAGAGATTTCTTAGCCACTTTACGTATTAATTTGGAAAATTAGTTTTCTTTTTAAGAAAAAAATCAGATAAATAAGGAAAAAGGAAAATAATATACCAACAGACTTTTTATATTAAATTTTTATACAAACTGATATGTCAATTTATGAATGATAAAAGCATAGATTTCATGAATTTAATTGATTAGTCTTTCATAAATAAAAAAATAACTGCTACTTATATTTCTTTGTATTTTATTATTAGAAAAGATTAAAGAGGAGAGTTAACAACACTCTATCTAACACTCTCTTTTAAACACTTGCTCAATAAATACTAACGGACGGAAAATAACCGATATCCCATATTCTTATGATGTTTTTAAATTACAATAAATCATATATTATCTAAAAGTCTAAAATACATTTTATTTATTTATTTAACTTTATTATCTCGCTTCTAAAACAAAATAATTTGTCAAGCGATTCCGAGCGCTCTTCCCGATTCCAAATTCTCCCAATTCTAAATTCTCAAACAACAAAGAAAAAGCTAAAAGATATCCCAATTGGAGAAAATTACTTGTTTTATAAAGAGAAGGGAATAAAATATGAAAGTGAATAATTTACTCTTTCTATCACTCTGCTTTGACCAATCCCATTTTGGCTTATATCACAAAAAACAAAATGAAAAGTAATTAAATTATATATATATACATTAATCTAGCAAATCAAAATCTTATAATCATATATAACAATAAAGTACTAAGTTTTTAACTATAATAATCAAATAATTGATTAAACCATACACCTACAAGTTTGTAAATTCTAGATTTTATTACCTAGAAGATTGCTAAAAATTATATGCATAACTCTATGCTTAAAAAAATAATTCTCAAATCACCCACCATACTTCAACATGTAAGTTCACAATTATTGAAGCGAGATCTAAATATCAAACACCAAATCAAACAACAAGAACCTAGCTTAAAAGAAATAAATAAAAAGTTATACGAGCAACTTATCTCAAAATCTAAAGAGACAATTAATATCCTTTTGTTAGTAAATCTAAGGGCATTTTAGACTTTTAAACAATATAAGATTTATTATAATTTAAAAATATCCTAAGAATATGAGATATCGGTTATTTTTTGTCTATTATTATTCAATGTAGACACTTTTATTCGAGCAAGTGTTTCAAATAAAGTGTTAGAGGAAGCGTTGCTAGCATTGCTCAAGATTAAATAGGAAAGAAAGAGAAGCACTTTCTTTTATTACAACTAACGCAGATCTATTGCATATAATTAAACAAGAAAAAGTTTGATCAATAAGTTGAATAAAAATACGTTAAATACAAGTACATATAATCTTGTGACTGTGTACTTAATAGATTTCAATTAAAAAATTATTCTCCTTATGTAATTTTTTTTTTTACAATATTATTAGTTAACAGAATAAATTATAAGTTAGTCCCTCTAGTTTCAAGAAACAAAATAATTAGTCATCTTCATTTTAAAAACTATAATTTAATTTTTTAATCAGCATTGATCATTTTTAATTTAATATTATTTTTATTTTTAAAAATATTTTATTTTTCATCAATTTTTTCATATTTTTTATCTTTATCTTTTTTTATTTCTTAAAAAAAAAACAATTAAATAAATTAAAAAAAACTAAATTACAAGTAAATTTCAAAATATAAAGATTAAATGATTAGCTTTAGAAATGTGAGGAATTAATTAATTTGTTTATGGAAACGAGAAGTACTAATTTATAATTAACTCCTAGTTAACCGTGTGTGTGTATATATAATCATGAGTTAACCATATCCAACACCGTCCATTTTTTGAAGTATTATCATTTGATTGGTGTATTTGGCAACTTAACCCTTCTATACTGTCAAAGCAGGATTAATATAAAAAAAACCCATCCTTCGACGTACCACATTGTTTATCTCTCAAAACATTAGGGGCTTAATTGCTTATAAAACACATTAATATTAAGTGTCATTTTCTGTTATGGATTGTAATTTGCTCAAAAATTGAATATCGTATCCTCCATGCGAAAACAGAAGGATTTCTGTTTATTTATCAGCCAATTTTCTTAGTCATTCCAAATCACGACCTGTCGTTTTATCGTCACCTAGTATTTCCAGACACCCCAGTCGCTTTCGAAAAAGAACAAAAAAAGGTAAAAAAAAAAAAACCCCCAATTTTTTTCTCGCCGCTGCGGTGTTAGGGTTTCACCTTCACGTCTGTATGTAGTCACCTTTTCAAATCATCAATGGAGGAGAAGATTTGTAGCGAGTTGAAACTCACTGAGTTAAGGCAACAAAGCTTCCACAAAACTTTTAATCAAATTCACGACCAAGCGTCTTCCATTCTCTTACTCACTCTTCAATGGAAAGAAATCGAAACTCACTTAGATTCCGCCTTCATTTCCATCAAAAACTGCGCCAAAGAGCTTCACTGCAAGGAAGGTCAACTGGAGGAGAGAGAGAAGGAAATTGAAGTGAAGGAGAAGGAATTTGAGGAACGGTGTCGAGAATTTATAGAGCTAAGAGATGCGGAGGTTGAGGAGCATTTTAAAGAGATTGAGTTTACGAAGAAAGGGTTGGAGGAAAGGCGCAGAGAATTTGAGTTGAAGGAGAAGGAATTTGAGGAACGGTGTGAAGAGATTGAGTTGGAGGGGAAGTGGTTGGAGGAAAGGCGAAAGGGAGTTGAAGATAGGGAAGGATTGGCGAAAGAGAAGTTTGCTGAGCTTAATTTTAGGGAGAAGCGAATTGTTGAGAGGTGTAGGGAAGTCGAATTGGAAAATAAGAAATTTGTTGAAGGGATTGAAGCGAAGGAGAAGCGAGTTGAGGAGAGGCGAAAGGGAGTTGAAGATAGGGAAAGATTGGCCAAAGAGAAGTTTGTGGAGCTTAATTTTAGGGAGAAGCAAATTGTCGAGAGGTGTAGGGAAGTCGAATTGGAAAATAGGAAGTTCGTTGAAGAGATTGAAGCGAAGGAGAAGCGAATTGAGGAGAGGCGAAAGGAAGTTGAAGAGAGGGAGGAATTGGTGAAAAATAAGTTTATGGAAATTAAGTTGAAGGAGAAGCAAGTTGATGAGAGGTGTAGAGAAGTGGAATTGGAAAGTAGAAAGTTTGGTGAAGAGATTGGATTGAAGGAGAAACAGCTCAACAAAAGGCGAAAGGAAATTGAAGTGGAAAGCAAGAAGATTGTTGAAGGGCTTGGGTTGAAGAAGAAGGAATTTGAAGAACGGTGTAAAAAGGTTGAATTGGAAAATAAGAAGTTTGTTGAAGAGCTTGAATTCAAGGAGAAGCGACTCAGTGAAGGGCGCAGGGAAGTTGCGTGGGAGAAGATGAAGTTTGGGGAACAACTTAAAGAGCGTGAATTGGAGGAGAGACGACTTGAGGATAGGGCTCTGGAAATTGAATCGGAGAAGAAGAGAAACAAGGAGTTTCTTGAAGAGCTTGAATTGAAGCAGAAGCAAGTTGAACAGCAGCGTCAAGAAGTTGATTTGGAGATCATGAAAAACAAGAAGTTTATTGAGGGGTTTATTGAGGAGCAAGTTGAATCAGAGAGAAAGAAGCTTATTGAGGAGTTTGATTTGAAGGAGAAACAATTTCACGAAAGGAGGGAGGAAGTTGAATTAGAGAGAAAGAAGTTCATCGAAAAGCTTGAATTGAAGGAGAAACAATTTGACGAGAGGCGGGAGGAAGTTGAATTAGAGAGAAAGAAGTTCATTGAAAGGCTTGAATTGAAGGAGAAGCAGCTTGAGGAGCAGCATAAAGAAGTTGAATTGAAAAACAAGAAAAACAAGAAGTTTTTTGAAGAGCTTGAGTTGAAGGAGAAGCAAGTTGAAGAAAGGTGTCTGGTAGTTGAATTGGGGAATAAAAAGTTCGCTGAAGAGCTTGAATTGAATGACAAGCAACTTGAAGAGCATTGTAAGGTAATGGAATTGGAAAGGAAGAGGTTTGAGGAACTTTCCAAGAAGATTGAATTGAAGGAGAAGCACCTCGAAAAGCAGTTAAAAGAAGTTGAATTTGGAAACAAGAAGCTTTTGGAACAACCTAAAGAGCTTGAGTTGAAAGAGAAGCAACTTCTGGAGCAGTCCAAAAACCTTGAAACAGAATCTAAGAAATTTATGGATCAATCTAGAGAACTTGAATTGAAGGAGAGGCATCTCGAAGAAGGGTGCAGGGAATTAGACGGGAAAGAGAAACGACTTGTTGATGCTGGTAATACTCATGTGAAGATTAAGGCACCGGATAATTTTGTGGTTAAGAATGCTATTGATGCTAATCTCCATCTTTCGGTGACTATGGATGGAAAGGCCTTGCAAATATTCTTAAATAAGTGTCTTAAATATGATGAGAAGATAAAAAATGAAGTGCTTAGTGCTCTTGTACTATCACCGGATCCTGCAAAGCTTGTTTTGGATGCAATGGAAGGGTTTTATCCACCACCCATGGCTCTCAGAGGGAGTGTGGTAAAAAAGAGTTGCAATTTTTTGCTGGAGCAATTAATGACACTGTCACCACCAATCAAGCCGCATGTGAGAGAAGCAGCAAAAGAGCTTGCCTTTGATTGGAGGACCAAAATGAGAAGGGGTGGTAAAAATTATTTTGAGTTTTTTGGATTTTTCAGGCTCTTGGCTTCTTATAGTTTGACCTCTGCCTTCAATGCTAATGATCTATTAAATGATTTGGTGACTGTTGCTCAATATAGTGAGACCCCTGAATTCTTAAGGGTCCTTGGTTTAGAAGATAAGGCCTCCCGTAAGTTTCTAATTCTGAAGCTTGGTATGATTTTCCCTTTTATCAATCTGCTTATCTGGTACGTACGTTTCTTTTTAGGTAGTACTGTGCTAGTTTATGAAGTTGCACAGCTAACATTATGCTTGGAATCGAGAGAGGATATGCATATAATCAAACAAATTATCTCTTAAATCAAATAACTTCATAAGATGCAAATTTTAGAAGTGACATGCTAAAAATCCTTTGGTAAAGTTGGTGTTATTGGAAGAAAGGAAATGGATCATGCGAACTATCCAACTGCTGTTGCATCTCATGTGGTTGCTATGTATTGAATTGTAATCTTTAGAATTTGTTGTGAAAATACAAAATAGTGAAAATACATGGGACATGCAAAAGTTGGGCATATTGTGGAGATGTGTTTGGGTGTTTGCTTCGTTTTGGAGAATAATGATCTTTTGTTCTTCTTTTCTCTTGTTTAAAATATAGATCGGCATTCATATAAATCTAACTGCTAGGGTTTTGTGTCCTATATTAATGATGTCATTACCCTGACACTGAAAGCTGTAGCTGGGTTTTCACTTATTCCTTCTCCTTCCTATCACGGAGAAAAAAAAATGGAACTATAGCCTTGATTAAAGCCTATTTGTTCCATTCTCTTTTTAAATCTGCAGGAGTTGTAATGCTATATGATCAATCTTTTGGTAATACCAGCTATCTCTTTCTTTATTTTTAGCATGACAACTGGGGATTTCCATACAGAGCCTTGAGGATCCACATAAAACCTTGACTTGAAAGCATCCATATTTTGTTTATAAAATGCCCTTCTCATGAGAATTTATTGATCTCTGAACTGCCTGGTGAAAAATTTATTGTTCATCATTTTTTGAGCTATTATTTTCTCTTTTGGGCTTCCTAGTGGGGTGACTTGCAACTTATGTTGTATATGTAACAGGTTTTGTTCAAATTCTGATCAACAAGAAACAATATCTTGATGCTGTTAGGTTCATCTGTGCATTTGAGCTGGTTAAGGAGTTCCGGCCTCGACGTCTCTTGGCACTTTACTTGCATGATTCCAAGATTGCTGTAAAAAAAATTAGAAAGAGCAAAAAATCCGTTGCAGCACAGGTATGATTTTACGTTTTCTGTTAATTTATCAACCTTCACTTTAGTTTTAAGACCAGCTGTTAACATTTGCAAATTTGAAACAACTCGCTAACAGGTTATGGCGAATAAAAAAAGAGTTGCTGATTTGAGGGCCGTAATTAAATGCATTGAAGATCACAAGCTTGAATCTGAACTCTCACTTAAGTGCCTCAAGCAACAAATACTAGATGTGGAAAGAAGAGATTCAAATAAGAAAACAATATTGCCAGCTGTAGGCTGCAGTTCTCAGACCCGAATTTTGGATGAGAAGAGATTTTCATTACCCAAATCTACCTCCACCGCAAACACTACCCCTACTGCTCCAACTGCTCCCATCAATGTCACCACCCCATCACCAACCACTGCGTCTACTGCTACACCAGCTGCTGCCATCACGATCACCTCCTCTATGTCAACTGCTGCCTCCACTGCTCCCTCAATCATAAACACCTCTCCCAACCCTACTCTACCCATTACCGCCCCCACTTCCTCCACGAGTGTTGTCTCCCCCTCACCAACCACCACACTGCCTTCAGCTACAATCTCTGAGTGTCTAGCACAACATCATTGTGGAGATAAGCGCCCTCAGCCACAACACCAGGTTGGAGACGAGCACCATCATCCGCAACATGAGGATGGAAACAAGCATCCTCAACCACAACACCCGTATGGAAATAAGCACCCTCAACGACAACAACTAGGTGGAAATAAGCGCCCTCGAATAGCTGCATCATCAGAGGTACCTCTACGAGCATCATCATTTGCCTTTGCAAATACTAACTTTGTAGACTCGCTGGAAAGCCCTCATCAGCGACCAAATCACTATTTTATGAATCAAGGTGCATCATATTTGAACTCATCAGCTGGACATTATAGCATGACTGGGTACCAGCCTATAAACCCACGGATGAGCTATTACAATAATGTAAATCCTTATTATTATCGGAACACATTTGGTGCACCTGGCTATGAAAACACCACACCTTTTCATAGACGTTAGGAGCTCCTGCCTTCTGGTTGTGATTAACCATGAAATCAGTCAAAGAATGCTTCGTGAAACTCATGGCAACATAGAGGCAGGTTTAAGGAGATTGAAGTAGGAGAGAAATTTCTTTTAAGCACCATAATCAGTCAACTACCTGTTGAGAAACTGTTGAAACTCCAAATTAGAGTGGGAGAAGCAATTTGCAGTACCAAGTGAATTTTTGAAGGTTGGGTTGAAAAAGAGCTTGAATGAATGGATAACAGGTTTGAAAATTGATCTTATGATTTTGAACTGATTAGTGACTTTTCTTTGGTAATTTTATAGCTAGTTAATGTTATTCAAAGACTTCGATGCCTTCACTTGAGAGGGCAGCAAGTCTTGAAGATAGTAGTTTATGTTGGTTTTGTTTCACACACTGTTGATAGCTTTTGTTTGTTTCTCTTATTACTCAATGCTTGTACAGTAAGATGTTTATAATAAATAATCAATTTGATACTCTAGTTACTAAGGAGCTTGAGGATAACAAATTCACTAACCACTGTCTTTTCTCATTACTTTTTGGTTTTCAATATTCTGTTTGTCTCCTCTTTAGGGATATATCTGGAATTGGTGTCGAACCTCTAGCATTTTTCTTTGTTGCTGGTACAAAAATCTTCTGAATTTGGGACTTACGAGAAACTCAGTACAGCATTTAAAATCAGGATTATATCGATTTGTGGATCTTAATTTTCTGGGATAGATGTGTTACCAATCCCACGAATTAGTTGGTGATGGCTTCCAGGAGTTTTGAAATCACTCAGTGAAGCTTTAGGCTATCTTTATGGTTAGTATGGTGTTCTATAGTCTTGTCGTTTTACGCTCATGTTTCACTATTCTTGTGTATTTCCTCAAACAAAACCCAGAGAAGCATAACCATACAAAGTTTATCATAATGAATATAAAGGGAAGACAAACGGACACTGAGGGCTTTATTTTGAGGGCACAAAGCAGAAAACACGTTTAACTTTTAATTGGCATTGTTAGCATTTACACCCTCAGAGACAACTTGTGATGACACAACACCTTCTTCCATTTTCTTCCAGCCATCCGCAGCCTTATTCTCGCCGGAGTCCTTCGCAGTGTCGTAGGAGGCATGTAATCCAAACAGGAAATAGTATATCAATAGAATACCAGTCCATACACCAAATCTCTCAAATGATGCCTTATCTATTGATCCCAAAAGAAAAATGTTTATAAGTATCGAAGCAGATGGCAGCCATGGCACGAATGGAACTCCCCATAATTTAGGATCCCTTGCTTGTGGAACAAGAACCTCGAGTGCTAGGGTGGCCAAGAACCAAATTGGTATGGTAATCACATACCCAACCCAACCATCTCCACCCAGACGCCAGATAATACTGGTAGCAGTTGAAGAGCCAAGAATGGCCGCAATGCACAGAATGAACTTGCTCTGATCGGCTGGTGTTGTGACGCCGCTGACATAGTAACGACGCACAAGAAGTGCCACAGCCACAAGTGTGAAGATAAATAAGGTGGAGATGGAAAGAAGGTTGGACAGAATATTAAGCTTTGTGAAGAAGGCAACGATAGCTGTTGCACCAAGCATGATAACAGTGGCATTTACTGGTGTCCCAGTCTTTGCATTGACATGAGCTAACCAGGGGGGCATCATGTGAGTTCGAGCAATGTGAGTGAGATACCGAGCCTGACCAACTGCCGAGACGAGCAAAGCTGTGGTCATGCCTGCCAATGCACATAAAGCAACAATGTACTTTGCCCAACTCAGACCAACATAGTCAAATGCTGAAGAAAATGCAGCTTCTCCATCAAGCTGCTTGAACGGTACCATTAGGCACAATGTTGCTGCTAGCAAACAATATGCCACTGTAACTATTGCCATCGAACCCACAAGTCCAATAGGGATATCTCGAGCAGGATTTTTGGTTTCTTCAGCCATTGTAGAAACAGCATCAAATCCAACATAAGCAAAGAAAAGCACAGCCGAACTGACGAAAATACCACGGACATCATATGGCATAAATGGTTTGTAGTTTCCAGTATCTGCTTTAGTAAGGCCAGCAATTATGATGAAGACGATCACTGCAACGTGCATAATTGAAGTAATGTAATTAAAGCGTGATGAGCCTTTGGTGCTAAGAATGGCAAGCACGCAAATGAGAGAAGAAACAACAACAGCAATAGGGTCAAGTTGGCTATAGTCATCTGCAAGGCTGTGGACTATTATACGGAAATCATCAGGTTGGTGGTTGCAGAGGGTGGCAAAGTAGGATGTCCATGACCGGGCCACAGCAGCACCACCAATAACGTATTCCAGCAGGATGTTCCCAGCAGCAATGAAGGCCATGAAATCACCTAACTCTACCCTCAGGTAAGCAAATGAACCACCTGAAACGAATATAATGATTACGTTAGCATTTTCCATTTTATGATATTCTCAGAGAAAAACCTATTGCCAGGAAGAATAGATTTGTTTAGATTTTACAAAGATGTCAACACATGAAGATGCTTTCAATGGATTCTATCTTTAGAGAAGGAATTCAAGGACATGTTGAAAGAGTTATAGAACAGAAGCTTTTGCATATTTAATATTTCAAATGTCGATCATTTTGCAAATCAAACAAAATCCATTGAAAATTTACTCAATTCAACTCAGAATGAATCTTAGGTATGCAAATACTAAATTTTTTTAAACACTTTATCCATATAATATTAGGCCAATACACATGGCTCTATCACTATAAGAGCTTTTGATTTGAAAATAATGAAGTTGAAGAATAAGTTGGAGCATATTTTCATAAAAAATTAGAGCATATATACCTGCAACAGGAATTTCCACAGCAAATTCAGTGTAACAAAAAACAGAAAGCATGGCTGAAACACCCGAAACAACGTAAGACAACACCACAGCAGGGCCAGTGTTGTCGCGTGCTTCGAGACCTGTGAGCACAAAGATGCCGGCACCGACAACAGCACCTACTCCAAACCACATAAGGTCCCACCAGGTAAGGCTCTTCTTCATCTCATGCTCACTCCGGGACTTGACCTCGTTGAGCTCGGTGGAGTCCAAGGATCTCGTCAAGAGCCTGTCCCTGAAACGCATAGGAGTTTGACGGATTGCTTGGAAATAATTTGTCCAGCTTCGGAATGACTCCTCAGGAAGAAAATCATCTTTTGTGCAAGAGCATCCTCGCTTCCTGATTCCTTCACCTCCATCTCCATGTCCTCCCATTCTAAAACTTTTTACAAAGAGAAATTAAAATAGAGAAACATAAAGAAAAAGCTTTGATGATTGGATTTTCTCAACAACCAAACAGTACACAACTTTATGCTCCAAGCTCGTCAAGAAGTACTCTTAATGAAGGATTGAACGAGCACCAGTACCTTCTTTGTCTGAAAAAAAGAAAAACAAAAAAACCAATGGAGCAAGAATTTTGAAAGAAATAGAGCATGAGAATTTCTTTTTATAAATAACAAAAAGAACCTCCTATTATCCTTGTTCGGCAAATGAGACTAAAATATAAAATCCAAGAAAGGTAGGAATGCTTCTTCTAAGAAACGAACAACAACTATGCAACAAATCCTCACTCTAACAATAATGATGGGGTAATATTTTCAGCACAAAACTACTAAATGATATGCTACCTGTACCATCAGGAAAGTGATTTCTTGTATTTTTATACAAGTCATTATATTAATCAAAACAATAAGTGGAATCTAGCTAATTATTTAAATGAGAAGAACTGCCTGAAAACAAAATGAGGGTCCACCATAAATATTCGCCGGCAACGAGAGCATTTAAGTTAAACAGAACAATGAAGAAGATTGAAGCTAAGCTAAGCTTCTGGTTGTTAACCTTGCAGGTTTAGATTTTAGAACACATCATAATTTGCAAAATTCAATTCTACTTAGTGTTTGTGCTTTGTATTTGTATAGGAATTCTATTATATGAGTATTTGAGGAAGCATTGCTTTTCATTTTGTGACTAGTCCTGTATCCTTGCCTGCTCGGTTTTTTCATTGTCATCTGTTGCATTGACTAAAAGTGATTCCGGAACCATCATTTTCAGTAAATATTTTAATATTCTAGCACACATTTTCCAAAAGCAATACATGATCTATACTTAGGAATTCCTGTTGCCTTCATGGATGTTGCTCATTCTGAAGAAAGTCATGTTTTGCTGCTTCTTTGGCCTAATTAACATGGACTGTTCTTCTCTAGGTGGATTGTTTGAAGAAAAATATATGCAGATATCTATTTTTGTTTGCTAAATTAACATTTTCACACTACTCATGACTGCTTGTGCATGCATCCAGATTTTAATGTTGTCGGTATTCATTATGCTTCGAGGACGCATATAGGACGAACCTGCATCCCTGCCTTGTGTCATCAGTAGTTATATCTAAGGTCGGAGGCGAATTGATCCAAAATGTACTCTTAAAAGAATGCAGAAAAACAGTTTAATTGATAATAAACCTGTAAGATAGTAACGAAATCCATTAAAAATATTACTATTAATATTTCGAGAGGTACCTTTCTCCTCCTAGCTAGTGTTAGAACCATAGCTTCTGCTGCGCGAAAAATAGGCCGCAGCTTGTAGCCCTTCATGTCTATGAACGTTTTTGGACAGGTTAAGTCTATTTCTGGTGGTTGTACCCTAGAAACTTGGCTGACATTCTAGTACAAAAGCCTTGAATACTGTTATTCCTGCATCTGCCCCATCCACCATCACTGCAGTAGCTGACATTTTTTTGTTACTGAAAATTTTTATATTGTTATTTTACTAGCTTTAGTAAAAAAGAAAAATGTATATAATTGTCAATTTTAACAAATTTATTTAACTAAAGAGTCATATAATCTTCAATTATGATAATCAACTTCTTATACACAGAGCCAAAACCTAAATATTCTCAGTACAACCACTGGATTATGGAGGAGAGATTAATTATTCGTTTTTTAGCAAAAACTTCTTATTTGTCTTAGAGAAAAACCTGTTGACTAGGAAGAATAGTTTTGTTTAGATTTTACAATGATGTCAACACATGAAGATTCTTAAAATGGATTCTATCTTTAGAAAAGGAATACAAGGACAAGTTGAAAGAGTTATAGAACATAAGCTTTTGCATCTTAAATGTAGATCATTTTGCAAATCAAACAAAATCCATTGAAAATTTACTCAATTCAACTCAAAATAAACCTTAGGTATGCAAATACTAAATTTGTTTCAACACTTTATCCATGTAATGTTAGGCCAATCCATATGGTTTTATGGTTTTATTCAGCATAAGAGCTTTTGATTTGAAAATAATGAAGATAAACAATAAGTTGGAGCATATTTTCATATAAATTAGAGCATATATACCTGCAACAGGAATTTCCACAGCAAATTCAGCGTAACAAAAAACAAAAAACATGGCTGAAACACCGAAACAACGTAAGACAACACACAACAGGACCAGTGTTGTCACGTGCTTCGAGACCTATGAGCACAAAGACGCCGGCACCAGCAGCAGCACACCTACACCAAACCACATAAGATCCCACCTGGTAATTAAGGTTCTTCTTCATCTCATGCTCACTTCGGGACTTAATCTCGTTGAGCTAGCTCGATGGAGTCCAGGGATCTCGTCAGGAGCCTGTCTCTAAAATGGATAGGAGTTTGAAAGATTGCATGGACATAATTTGTCCAGCTTCGGAATGACTCCTCAGGAAGAAAATCATCTTTTGTGCAAGAGCATCCTCGCTTCCTGATTCCTTCACCTCCATCTCCATGTCCTCCCATTCTAAAACTTTTTACCAAGAGGAATTAAAATAGAGAAACATTAAGAAAAAGCTTTACTGATTGGATTTTATCAACAACCAAACAGTACACAACTTTAATTATGCTCCAAGCTCGCCAAGAAGTACTCTCAATGAAGGATTGAACGAGCACCAGAACCTTCTTAATTTGCCAGGGAAAGAAAAACAATAAAGCAACAAGAATTTTGAAAGATATAGAGCATGAGAATTTCTCTTTTTATGAATAACAAAAAGAACCTCCTATTATCCTTGTTCGGCAAATGACACCAAAATATAAAATCAATAAAAGTGGGACTGCTTCTTCTTAGAAACAAAAAATAAATAAAACTAAAGTAAAACTTTACTATTTAAAACACTATTCACATACACTTAAAAGTACTATTTTTTTTACTAAACAATGATATTTTTATAATTTTTAAACATTTTATATATAGTTATAATGAAAGTTTTTTTAACATTGCTCTTTGGTCTCTCTTTTTTAAATATGATTTTTTCAATCCGTAAAATATTTTTTGTTTCATTTTTGTCACTTTAATCCTTTTTTTCTCCGATTTTTTCAATAAAAAATTTGAAGGTAAAAAAATATTTAAAAAACATTAAAAAATAAATTTTTAGCTAAGAATCCATTGGTTAACATTATTTATATTATTAAATAATTTTTTTTAAAAAAATTATGAAAAAATATAAAGCATAATAAGTTAAATATAAAATTTGATGTATTTTGGTAGACGCATAATATAACACGGGATATAAAAGTAAAATAATTTTTAAAAATAATTTTATGTATTTTATACGATCTAGAGCGTAGCGTGTGTAAAAAATCTAGTAACAACTATACCAAATTGAGCAAGCTATGTCCAAAATTTTTCCATTTTTGTTAGCCAAAATATGGTTGTTATTTGTGTTTTTTTAAATAAATTTTAAGAGTTAGATGATTATTTCTAATGTATCTTTTTGTTATTGAAGAATTTCACATTTTTATTTTACTAGCTTTAGTTAAAAAAATGTATTTAAGTGTCAATTTTAATAAGATATTTTTTTAAGCAGAAAAAAGAAAAAAAGAACATTAATTCAAATAAGTTGAGGCCATATTAAGTGAACCAAACACCTCCCTTCTCTGGATTTTGGAATTTGGATACTAGCCGAGCCAGGCCACAACTATCTTTAACCGTTTTTCGGAAGAAGAACTGGGCTTGTCAAGATGTTTCTCCTTTTATAATTAGGCCAGGCCCATTATTGTTTTATTTCTAAATGTTGGGCTTCAAAAGAAAATACGGTCCATTGACTTGTGGAAAAGGGTAGAAGACAGTACTTCCTCTTCGATTTTCAAAGGAAGTAAAGAGCACTGATTATGTTGATGATTATGCGGAAAAGAGCTTTTAGAGCTTCTTCTTCTTCTTCTTCTTCTTCTGTTTCTGTTTTTCAGCTTCAAAAACAACAAGTTCAAACGGGCATTTCTATTTCTTTTCCTAATTTCCTTTCTTTCTTATTCTTCAATCATCACCACATTACTGCTTCTGCTTCTACCAACAAACCTTCTTTGCCTAAAAAAGATGGTGGGTTTCTTACTACTAATAGCAATAACAACAATTGTACTGCTGACGATGCCTTGGCTTCTTTTAATCACATGGTTCGCATGAATCCCAGGCCTCCTGTTGTGGAATTTGGCAAATTCTTAGGGTCGATTGCCAAAAAGAAACATTATTCCACTGTTATCTCTTTGTGCAATCAAATGGATTTGTTTGGAGTTGCCCACAATGTTTATTCTCTAAATGTACTCATTAAATGCCTTTCCCGCGTCAACCATGTTGATTTTTCTGTCTCTGTCTTGGGTCGAATTTTCAAACATGGCATTCAACCTAATGTTATGACATTCAATACACTACTTAATGGGCTCTGCACTGAGGGGAAGATCAAACAGGCTGTAGGATTGCTTGATGAGATGGCAGGGAGAGGGCATGAGCCTGATGTAATTAGCTATAGTACTGTAATAAATGGTTTGTGCAAAAAATGGCAACACAAGCATGGCTGTTGAGGTGTTCAAGAAGATGGAACAAAATGGCTGTATGCCAAACGTGGTGACATATACTACAATCATAGACAGGCTTTGCAAAGACATGCTAGTTAATGACGCCATGGACTTCTTTTCTGAAATGGTGGATCGGGGCATTTCACCTGACGTTGTTACTTACAACTCAATACTTCAGTGTTATTGCAATTTGGGTCAATTGAATGAAGCAAAAGGATTGTTCAAAGAGATGGTCGACGGGAATGTTGTGCAACCTGATGGGTTTACATATAATGTCATGATTAGTGGACTTTTTAAAGGAGGACTATCAAATGAAGCATATCAGTTGTTTAGAAAAATGGAAGACGAGGGCTGCTCGCCTAACAGTTGCTCTTACAACATTGTCATCCGAGGATTTCTTCAAAACCATGACTTGTCAACTAGTGTACAACTTATTAATGAAATGGCCAGTAGAGGATTCTCTGCTGATGCATCCACACTGGAAATATTATTGGATCGGGAATTTGGTGGTGAAATTATACGTAGATATCTACGTCAAGATCCTCTAGATGGAAATGCCAAGTAATGCTTCAAGAAGCTAGGAGCTCCATCCGTGTAAGTTATTGCAGTACCTAACATTTCCACCTTAGGGACAGTAAATACCTATTGGTTTCTATTGACTTCATATGGTGACTTTTTTGGTAATGGGTCACACTATAGATTCATTACTTCGTTAAATATTGTGAAAATAGTCGCTCACATTTCCCTTTATAATATAAGTGGTATTCTATCACTGCTGTTAATCAGTATGGATAAAGTAGCTTCATTGAGTACTATAAGGATATACTTGGAGACTAATTTTGTTAAATTTTAAACAAAGCATATTTAGGAATTGTACGAACAACTTCCTTTGGAGTTTGGATGACAGATTGTTGCTTGTAGTTTGATTTAGTGACTAGTTTTAAGGATGTAATGATGGCATTTAATAACAAATTGGTCATTGCTTTGGGCTTTGATTACTGCTAAATTGCAGTCTGCTGCTTGCAAACCTTTCACAACATGACTGTATCTCTAGAATCTTCTTTGTAGTGTCTTCCATCAGCAAAGAAATGGCATAAGGGGAGTGAACTTTAAAATATCAAAGCTAGAGTAATTTGAATGCATGTCGATTACCTCGTATGTTATTCTTTTATGTTGTTCTTAGTTGGATTAGAATGGAAGTATAGACAACAGTCAAAAGTTGGCAGACATTAGCTACTTTGTCAAGTGAAATTTGGTTGTAACTCTACGGTTTTTACCTACTCTTTCCAAGCCACCTACCCTGGGTCCTTTAAGGAAAATCAGGATTCACCTTTTATATTTGCCCAAACCGTGTTTTTCTTTTTGTGTATGTGTGAGTTATTTCTTCCATAGTTTTGCTCTGTTGTTCTTTATTTTTATTGGGAATGCCATGCATAGAAAGTTTAACACTTGTGTGTGTGTGTTTTATTTTTTATTTTTCATTATTATTATTATTATTTTTGATATTGACTCACTCTTTTTATTCATATGGTACATTATTTTCAAGCCCATAACTTAAACGGGTGAGCTGAAAAAAAGGCTTGAATTAGGCCTTCTTATTGCAAGCAAGGGGGAAACGAGTTATTTTGCATTAGCTTGGCCCGACTCATTTGTGAGTAAGCATAATCCATCTTGCTTGTCTCTTATAAGCTCATAACACACTTCTTTTAATATAGTGTTATCTCACATTACGTCTCTTCTTTAGCAATATGAGATAAAAGGTTTTGACAATGTTTTGAAATACTCGCAACACAGTTTTTATATGTATCCCAGTTGCCAAGGAGTTCCAGAGGATTTCTAAACCTGCCCTTCAATTCAGCAATATTGTTCAAAAACCATGTGTTTTGCTTGGAATTTCATCCTTCAAAACTTGCCTCACTAACTGTAAGGTTGTTTGTATTCACTTTGTAGATGGAATGAAATACAATTGCCCAATTGGTATAATATATTCATCAGAGACTGATTCTTGGAGTTTATTTTATGAAATTTGGATAGTTAAAACGTGAAGATAAAAGACTACTTTGGAGAGTCTGGAGCCTATTTGCGTATAGGGAGTGTTGGCAAAAACCATTTCTTCTTAAAATTGATGTTTGAGAGATGGCTAAAACTCTATTTTAGGACAAGGCTGCTTCCTAAACCAATGTAGAACTGATATTGAGTCTTATCATGCGGATTGAAAAACGAGAAGAATTGGTACCATATGTAGTCCTTGTAGATGGTAGAGACATATAATCTTTTATTATGAAAATAAACTTCTTATTCATAGCCAAAACCTAAATATTTACAATGAGAAATTTTATAATTATTAAAAGAGTATCTATTGTAGTTATCTGAGTATGAGATTTTAATTATTTGTTTTTTAGCACAAACCTTGTTTTGGCTACCTAACAGGTAAGGGAACGAGTTAATCAGAACTTACCCCATTTTTGTTTATTAAAACTAATTAATTAATCTTTGTTGTATAAAAAAATATAGTCATTTGACTGATTTTGACCATCCTCCATTAGTAATTATTTTTTTTTAATAATAAAAAGGCCTTCTTTGTTAAAATTTTCCTTTTTAAAATATAGGGATTAAACATATGCTTTCGAAGACTATGAGGATTACTTAATTAGTGTCGTGGAACAACAATGCTAAGTTATAATTTACTCTTAAGAAAAATTGGCTTATCCTGCTATTTTTTGTCAACTAGTGGGCTTCTTTCTTACAATACCAGTCTATCAAATTCCCCATTTAGCTGTTAGATTCGAGGACTTAAGCAAGTGGTTTATGGAGTCAATGTCAACATCAATAAAGTGTGTTGACATAGATAACGAGTAGGATGGCAATCTCACTCGACCCGATCGAGCCTCGTCTCGTCATGTCTCGTTTTGGGGAATGGATAATACGTGAAATATCATCTCGACTGAGACACGAGGACGAGTATGGGGTGACATTTTCTAGGAGGGGACGAGGACAGGTATGGCCATCCCCTCTCTCGCCTCGCCTTTTTACCTTTAGAAATAACAATCTCATGAGATCTCGTCCCGCTTCGCTCCTTTGGGGACGAGGATGATATGCAAAATATCATCCCAAACGAGAAACGAGATAAGAATAGGGTGACATTTTTTGGGTCATCTCCGTCCTTGTCCTGCCTCATTACCATCCCTAATAACGAACAAACGTCAATAGAAATACATTTTTTTTAAGTCCAAACTGTAAAACTTTATTTTTAGTTTTAAATTATTTAAGAATTGATTTTCAATTTTTAATTTCAAATTAATTTTTTTCTAACTATTTTGTATTTAGAATTAAACTTTTTTTTGTTACATTTATATTAATTTTAACATATTAGTGTAATTTATCAACAGTTAAAAATATATCAAAATTTATAGATATCTTATTTTGTCTTCAAAACTTGTTTCTTCCCTCATTAATGTTAAAAGTAAAAAATTAAAAAATATTTTATATAAAAAAGCAAATTATGAAGTTAAAAATAAATCATCCATAAGTTTTGATATATTTTTAGCTATTGAGAAAATTAAAAATTCAATCACGTACAAACCACATGTATTTTTATATCTAAAATTAATAAAAACCTAATAAAAATTTTACTTTTAAATAAAAAAATAATTGGAGAGAGATCCAACCCGAAATCAAATATTAAAATGCTAATTTTTAAATTATTTATAATTCAAAAAAGTTTTGAACCATCCAACCTTATAGTTAGATTAAACTAATGAATTTTGAAAAAGACTAATGAATTTAGCACAAGGTTTTGAACCCAAGATTTGCTGTGATATATAATCACACAAATAATATATCCATACCAAATTAATACGATTCATAAGTTGACCCATCATCCAGTGGGTTGATCCACTAATCTGGGGGTTAACCGATGACTTAGGAATTTGGATCCATGGGCCACAGAGACGAGTTCGGGGGGGGGGGGGGGGGGGCAAGGGGTGGGCCGGGCCCTCCCAAAGTTAAAAACTTTTGTCCCCTCCACCTTGTTAATTTAGCGTATTTGGTCTCCTTTCTAAAAGAAATTTAATAATATCCCTAAAACATTAAAATTTCAATCCCTTTTCATTTAAAATAATTTTTTCTTAATAAATTTAATCCTCCAAAAACAAAAAAAAGCGGTTCTCCCTTAATTTTGGTCCTTAAGAACAATTTTTCTTAATTCCAAAAGAAGATATAACTAGACATTATTTTTCTCTACTTTATTATAGGATTTTTTTTAGCCCCCCATCTCAGCGATTTCAGAATCGTTCCTGCTTAGCCAGATCAGGTCTTTGGTCTTTTCTAACCATGTCAACTTAGCAAACAATAGGAGACAGGAATGGCGCCGAATTTTTTGAGTAAATTACAATTTAGTCCTTGTATTTTGACAATTGTATAAGTTAATCATTCTATTTTAAAAAATCATAATTTAATCCCTTTACCAAAGTTGACTGTTATTCCTTTTTGAAATTTATTATCACCTGTTTAAAATATATTTTTTTATCCATAGCATGTGAGGTTGGAAATTTTATTTTGAAAATATTTTAGAAAAAAACAATTAAATTGTTAGAATAATTAAGTTATTAAAAAAAATGAAAATATAAGAACTCGATATTAGGTTTTTAAAACGAAAAAAAATTTAACTAATTATTTTACTAAAATCACAGGAATAAAATAATAATGTATTATATTTTTGTACATTCCAAACTTTCTTTCATCTCCTTTAAATTCCTTTTTACCATCTTCTCCTGTCCCAAAAACATTATGATCAGTATTGACCCTGATATTGCGAATTCAAACCGCGTAAGTTATGGCTACCTAGCAACTAACGAAGAGCATGGTCTCCTCCTGCATATTGTCAACTAGCTAGACGACTTCCTTAATGTTGCACATGGCCAGCAAATTCTCGTTTTTTGCTGTAAGATTCCAAGGACCATAGAAGGCATGCAGTGAAGTCAATGTCAATGATGCAAACCCAAATGATGAAAAGAGAAAAATAGCGATATGTCTACTTTTACAGCAATTAATTAATTAAAATTAGAAAAAGAAATTATCCACTTAATTTTTATAAATAAAGTCAAAATCCAGTGTCTATATATAGTTTAACATAAGCTAAAGCCTCTTTCCTTGTGTCCTATCTCTCTCAGTGTTGATCATCATGGCTAGTTGCCTCGTGTTACTTGTCCTAGCTTTCTTTGCTTTTTCAGCAAATGCGGATGGTGAGATTTTCGTTCTTTTATTTTTTCTTTATCCGCTTCTAATTCTCAAGAAAAAAAATATATATCTAACCATTTCAAACTGCATGCTTAAAATTTGCAGTTATCATTGATTGTGGAGCATCCGATTTTTACACCGACGGAAATTTCTTAGTATGGATGGGAGATGAAGACCTCTTCCAGAACAGCAGGTCTGAAGTGGTGCAATCTAGCAATACAGTACCACATGTAATGAGCACTCTTAGGGTGTTCACTTCTCGGAAAAAGAATTGTTACTCTATCTCAGCTGACAAGGGTGGTCTACTTCTTGTTCGGGCCAGCTTTTTCTACGGAAATTATGACAAAAAATCATCTCCTCCATCTTTTGATCTGCATTTTGATGGGAACTTATGGGCCAACGTCAAGACCTCACTTGATCAACTTGTTTATTATGAAGTAGTCTATGTTGCCAAAAGCGATACAACTAGCATCTGTCTTGCCCAAACAGAACCTAACCAGTTTCCATTTATATCAGCACTTGAGGTTAGGAACTTGGATTCAAAAATGTATAACAATTTTGATCCGAAATATGCACTGTTTTTCAGGTCAAGGGTCGCTTATGGTGCTAGTGCAACAGTGAGGTAATGATCATACACTGGCAATTAATCCTTATTATTGTCGTCCTTATTTTTTAGTTCTTACAATTTATAGATAATTTTCAGGTTCCCGGATGATGCTTATGATCGCATTTGGATTCCAGCAACAGTTGGTAGCGGGATAACTTCGGTCGCAAGCGATGCAATATTCATTGATGTTGTTAATGCACCGGATAATCCTCCACGAGAAGTCTTGCAGAATGCTGTTGCAGTCTCAAGCACATCTAATTCTATCACTTTAATCCCTGGTTTTCCAGATCGAGAAGTTTCAGTCTATATCAACTTGTATTTCTCTGAAGTGACCCAGCTTGATGCCACCCAAAAGAGATCCTTTAGGGCTTACACAGACGACATTCCTAACTCACAGCTCATCGTCCCACCTTATGGAGAAGTGACAGAAATGTTTGTTAACTTCACAGCTTCTTCAAACACCTCGTTTTCTTTGGTTGCCACCCCTGATTCTAAACTTCCTCCTCTTATCAATGCCATGGAAGTTTTCTTTGTTAGTGATCTCCTAACTGATGGAACCAACAGCACAGATGGTTTGCATTATTCTCTTTGAACCATCATAGCTGATTTGTTACTATTTAACGTGCAGTTAATATTGGAATCCTGCACATGTAATATATATATATATACTGACAGATAACTTTCCTGTTTAATTTATCAGTGGAAGGTTTAGGTGAATTCCAGAAAGCATTTAATGTATTAGAAGAATATTGGTCTGGTGATCCATGTCTCCCTTCTCCATACACATGGGAGTGGATTAGTTGTAGCAACGATACCGTACCTCGCGTAACAGCATTGTAAATCTTCTTTCCCTGGTCTCATCAGTAAAATGTTTAATTTCTTCTATTGATTTATTTGCTGGTTTAATAATTTATTTGCGTTCGTAATGCTTTTCTGTTTTTCAGGAACCTTAGTAGCTTTGATCTTTCAGGGGAACTTCCAGATTTTAGTTTCATGGATGCCCTTGTGACAATGTGAGTGTGATATCAATCATTAAGTAAACTGTAAATGAATTGAACCCATTTCAGAAACTTTCTTAATTGTTCTAACACATTGCCATCATTTTTTGTTTCCTACTGAACTCAGCAATTTGCAGAATAACAGCATAAGTGGACCTATTCCAGATTTCCTCGGAGATTTACCTAATCTCAAAGAACTGTAAGATTCTCCAAGATAACTCTTGTAATCAGTTGTTACAAATGATCTTGTAACAATTACCGGCATGCCTGCTTTCCCAAGTACTTGTGTTTGGAAAATACTGTGTCCTGTGGATGCAGCGTGCCCCTGACAAATTCAAAACAGAGTTTTACATTTTCGATAAAATAACACAACATTTTTCCTTTGTTTTTTCTTCAATCAAGAAATTTGGCAGATAATTCCTTCAGTGGACCGATACCTTCATCAATATCAAAAAATAAGAAGCTGAAATTAGTGTAAGTACCTATGCAAAAACAGTTTAATTTTACTGAAATCTCTTACGTCTCATTAATTTTTTAGATATAGTTTCTACTTTGATGATTAATTCATATGTACAATCTTCTGGAATAATATTACAGGGTATCAGGCAATCCAGACTTGTGCGTCTCCGGCAAATCCTGCCAACCAACGACCAGTACTGACGGTACTATCGGTTCATCAACTCCTTCAAGTCGCCGCAAAAAGAGTAACAAGCTTCCAGCGATACTTGGAACCACAATACCAATCTTCGTAATTTTCTGGGCTATTGTGGGATTTCTATTGCACCACAAGAGAAAAACAGCAGCCATTGCTGCAATCAACGCAGGTTAGCAAGCAGAATACAATTTATAATATGATATAACTTGAACAGTATTTCAATTTAACTGGTGGGGTATATTTCATAGTTTTAACACTTGTTTTTCTTCTTTTCTTGGCTCGTTAAGGACCAGCTGGCCATGCCAATAGGCCAAGTGGTGCCAATACCATGATGGGTAAGGTTGCTGAAGCTGTGATGGATGAGATCAAGGTCAACATCCAGGAGCAAACATCGACAGAGAATGATAATCAATCAAATCCACAGCAATGAAAAAGCAACCTGCCGGATGAGAAAAACATCAACTTTTTCTCGTCAAAACTTTGGACGTTTTAATCTCCCTGTGCCAATATTGTGTTCAAGTTTCCCAAAGTCAACGATCATATGTTAGGAACCTAGTGCCGTTATCTGTTGGGTAATGCTAAGGAGTGCTCCCAGGATTCTAGTTAAATAACATTTATTCTGCTTCAGAAAAATAATTTTACACTTAAAATGTATTAGGAAAAAAAAAGAAAAAAAGCTAGCCTAAAGATTGTGTAGCTCGAGGTCCAATAGACTTTCCAATTAAAAAAAAAAAGAAAAAAGAAGCTACCTTTAGTGCCCATGAATGTTTTAAACTTCATATGTGAATGCATCACCAATGATGAAAATATGAATTCCAACGACGAATTAATTGCCCACGTACTATAACAAATGCATCGCAAAGAGGCATTCATTTGCAAAACTTTTATTTAGACATGGGTTTTTTCTATATTTTCTAAATTTGTATCCTATGTTTTTTTTTAAATTTAATTGAGAACCTTTATCTTTTTTAAACTTAATTAAATTTTTTACTCTTTAAACTTTTTTGTTTCAAACCTTTTTTTTATAACGTTACTAATCAATGATCGATTGTTTTTCGAGATTTTTTATTTTATAATACCACGTGTCGATAATTAACTGGTGACGTTAATTATAATAGAGGATTTGGAACAAGAAATCTCAAAAAATAAAAAATCTTAATCAAATATGTTAGAGATTAGTATAAATTATATTCTAGAACTTTACCTATAAGCTTAAGCTTTTAGGTGAGATGGTCCTTTAATATCGTATCAAAACTTAGTTGACCTTGAGGTCCCGAGTTCAAGTCCCGTCTTTCCCAATTTCTCAAGTATTAAGCACAAGACAATGTAGACATGTACAAATTTCATGTCCTAAATGTTGGGCCTTTCACTTGAAGGAGTGTGTTAGAGACTAGTATAAATTATATTTTATGACCTCACTTATAAGTTTAAGCTTTTAGATGAAATGATCCTTTAATAAAATAAAATAAAATAATTTGAAGAGTATAAAGTTGAAATATAGAAAAAATCTATTTGGACAAGTTGCTGCAAGCCTGCAACCAAGCTTCTCCTTCATTGGTCCCATGCATTACTAAGAGCTTAGCAGCATCGGATAAACTTGTTCAACGTATTAATTTGTTTGCTACAGATTCACGAAAACACTTACTTTTCCTGATGAAAACGTGCGTCGGAAAAGTTGCAGTCTGTTGATCGGATTAATCCTCGTTACTGATTAAGAGCTAAGAGCAGTCTATAAAGTTTATCGATGTTTTTTTTTCCTTCCTCCGTTTCTCTTATCTTTCTTCTCTTTGGAATGATATGGAGTACAAAGGGCACTTTGTAGGTTCCACTCATTAAAATGCCAAGTAGGTATTTTAGCAGGAAGAAACACCTTCCGGCTCTCTAGCTTAGTTCTTGCAACTCCAGTTTATATGTTTATCTAGTCTGATATCATTTTCCCTCTACACCTTAGTCTTTTGATTAGCAGGTAGAACTTTCATTACAAGACTGAACTTGTCTAGAACCAATTTTTTGATTATTCTAGGGAAAATCCATCATTTTAACTCTGGTATTACAAATTTGATAAATTGTATTCTGCATTATCCAATTTTGTCCAATTTTATTCGTTACAAGGAATTGTATCTCTTCCTCCCCATTCAAACTAATTCAAACTTCTCTTTTGTAAATGCCAAAAAAAAAAAAAAAATCGTTAGATTTTATTTATTTATAAGAATGTTGACCTAGTCCAAAGCCACACCAACTGACATAACATTGTCAGCAGTGACCTTGATATTGTTGCCTATTCATAAGCTTCTGTGTTTTTTTGTTTTTCCAATGAAAATTGAGATTAGATTAAGAAGAAACAGTAGTTAGTAGCTAAGAAAATTACAAGATTATTAAAAAAAAAAAAACTCATCTTCACTTGCAGCTCATTTTTTACGGTTTGTCAAGTAATTTGTATTCCAAGATCTTTATTAAGCTGATGAGCTTCTTTAAGGTTACGTTACATTTAAGATTGAGTTACATCCGAAAGATTTAAATCTTATAAAGAATGGTTTCTTCTTAACTTTATATATTAATCATCTTTGATTTAATTATTTAATATAAAATATGTGTTGTAACATAATCTAATTCAATAATCTAATTAATCTGATTCGTGCTCGTCTGTCGTGGCTACCTATAACAAGCAAAGAAGAGAACTTGTCAATATCTTCTTATAGTATATTGTCAGCTCGTCGCATTCCTTGCTGTTCGTGGCTAGCAAATTCTACCTTCTGCTGTAAGATTCGAGGACCTTATCATTCAAGTGGGCAGTGAAGTCAATGTCAACGATATTCCTAAACCATACTGATTCAGGAAAACCCGCGTCTTTGAGCATGTATTCAACCCCAAGTTGGTACATATTAAGCCCATTTTCTTAATGATCATCATGTCCATTCAGAAATTAAAAGAGAAATCTTTACCTTGCCACTTAATTTGGATAAAGTAAAAAATCAAGCGTCCCCATCCCCTCCCCCCATAGAGAGAGAGAGAGGCTATAAGTCCTTTTCCTTGTGTCCTATCCTACCCCTCTCAGTGTTTAATCATGGCTAATTGCATTGTGTTAGTCTTCCTAGCTTTCTTTGTTTTTTCAGCAAATGCTGATGGTGAGATTTTCTTGCTTTATCATTCCTTCTTTTTTATTCGTAATCCAATACTAAAACACTTTTTTTTTTTATTCCTATTTGATGTGGACCAACATGGCTTATAATTTATGGAGCGGTATTAATACGATCGTAAAGTCGAAACCGACAAAAAATCCGTCGATCTAATTTTAATGTTTTTTTGAACCTAATTCGATGTGAAACGAACCAATTGAGCCAAAAAAAAAAAAAAAAAATGTTTACGACTACAAAATGGATTTTTTCTGTTTTTCGAGATTTTTTTCTTAATTTTTGAATTTTTGTATTTATTTTTCTTTTTGAATTAGTTTTGGATTTTTCTTAAATTTCCTATTCATGTATGACTTAGAGGTTGAATATGATAGTTTTCCTTGGTTAATACAATTTTACGAGAGAATATCTTAGTTTATTTCAACTTTCAACATTCTTTAAATCAATAGAATTTAAAACTTATTTTCTGGTATTCGTATGCAATTCAACAAGTTGTAATTAATACCGGTATTTGGATTTCATGTTTGAAATTCTCTTTTAAACTGCTGCTACCTCAATATTCCAATACATGGAATATGACTACTAAACTTTAAGAACATGGAGTATGATCAGAATTCCTAATAACATCTCCTAAATTTTAGAGACATGGAGCATGACTAACAGACTTCTAAACAGCAGCTCCTGAGACACATGTAATAAGCACTCTCACGGTGTTCCCATCTCGGAAAAAGAATTGTTACTCAATCGTAGTCGACAAGAGGCCGCTTCTTGTTCGTGCCAGCTTCGACTACGAAAATTATGACTGAAAATCATACCTCCATCTTTTGATCTGCATTTTGATGGCAACTTATGGGCCGCAGTCAAGACCTCACTTGATCAACTTGTATATTATGTAGTAGTCTAGGTTGTTGAAAGCGATACAACAAGCATCTGTCTTGCTTAAAGACAACCTAATTAACCAGTATCCATTTATGTCATGAGCACATGAGGTTAGGAGCTTGGATCCAAAAATGTACAACTATGTTGATCCGGAATATGCACTATTTTTAATTTAAGGTCCAGGGTTGCTTACGGTGCAAGTGAAACTGTCAGGTACGTAATGATCTATACTCTGGCGTTTCTTATCCTTACATTATTTCTTTCCGGGATTACACTGGTTTTGTCTTTTTCGGAGAAGTGAAGGAAATTTACATTAACACCACTGCATCTACAAACACTTCGTTTGCTTTGGTTGTTACCCCGATTCTACACTTCCTCCACTTATCAATGCCATGGAAGTCTTTAATTTTTGTTAGTGATTCCCTAAGAGATGGAATCAATAGCAAAGATGGTATGCATTATTCGTTTTGAACCCATTAGCTGAATTATTAGGATACAATAGATATTGGATTTAGTTCTGAATTTACTGAGATATAACTTTTCATGACTTTCAGTGCATGGGAGGTTTAGTTGAACTCAAAAATGAATTTAGTGTATTACAAGAATGGTCTGGTGATCCATCCCTCCCTTATCCATACACAACAGCATTGTAAATCATCTTTCCTGCTCTGATCATCAGAAATTTTTTCAATTTCTTCATATCTGTCTTTTAAAAAAAAAAAAATTATTTATAACATTTTCTAGTCTTTCAGGGACCTTAGTAGCTTTGAATAATTTGATCTTTCAGGACCACTTCCGGATTTTAGTTAAATGGATGTCCTTGTGACAACTGAGTGAAATATCAAACATTAATTAAGCTGTAATGAGTTGAACCCATTTCCGATAACTTATTGTTCTAACACAATGCTAGCTTTTTGTTTCCTGTTGAATTTCAGCGATTTGCATAAAAACAGTATAATTGGACCTATAAATTCCGGAATTCCTTGGCACCTTTCCTGACCTCAAAGAACTGTAAGACTCCCAGTTATATAATCTCTTGTTAGTCATTACAAATTCATTTGTAAGGATTCCTGACATGCCTTTTCAAAGAGTGATTTGTAGGCAAAAACCGTGTGGTGCACATATGAAACAGGGTTTGCATTTTCGAAGAAATAACACAAATTAATAATTTTTCCTTTTCTTTTCCTTCAATCTAGCTCGGAATTTGGCCGATAATTGCTTCAGTGGACCAATATACCTCCATCAATATCAAGTAATAGGTAACTTAATTGTGTTTGTACTTTAAAATGTACCTTTCTTTGCAAGCTACTGTTCATCTGTGTAAGAGGTTCAAATTTCTCACGCTATAAGTTTGCAAGTTGCCCTCTGTTTTGAATTATTTATATTTTTGGGAAACATCAATTTAGTTCCTAATCAATAT